ACTTGCAAATATGTTTTTATAACCTCCATTTAACTAAATTTGCGTAAGAAAATTTTTAGATAAAATTTTTCAAATTATTAACTTTTACTCTCTTCCCAATGACCAATTAGTATGCAATTTCTTATATATAATAATATAGACCTCAACAAGATGACATTTTAAATTTAAGTCAAAAACTTCTATTTTCGAATCTCACCTTTATATGAAATGTCATACTCAGCAGTGACAGTACAAGCTGTTGTAATATTACTACAGTAATGGTCATAATTATAAGACGCCGCGAAATTTTATAATTCATGCGTTTAGATTTTGAGCTTGTACATAATCGTAAACATTTAAATCATCAAGTAAATGCATGAAACTTTTTTCTTTATATGTGTTCATAAACTTAAAAAGGAACCGCTGATTTTGCATTAGTTCTATTTGCAACTTAATTTTTATTAGCATTTTCGTTAAAAATATTAATTTGCAAATACAGCAAATTTCATTCATTAAATAATTTTAAAGGATTTCTAAAACATTTTACTAATATCCAACTGCGTAATTTTTTTTCCAACATGTTATTTGGATTATTATGTTTGATGAAAAGAATTTTCAAGTAGATCCAGTTAAAAATATTCAAACCAAATAATGAAAATTTCTAAGCAACGTAAAATTATCTATTTTAGGTTTTTTAGGTCATTTACTGTCAAATAAGTTCATATTCACAATATCCTAGGTAAAAATCAAACAAAAACTTATATTTTATGTTATTTCAATTAATTAATTTAGAAAATAAAATAAAACATTATATTTTTTATAAATTTATAATAATGATAATATTAGGAAACAAAACGTTCTTTTTTTATTTAATAAAATAAAACGACATATTTTTTTTTAAAAAAAATAATTACGTTTCTAAATAAATTAGTTGAAATAACATCAAATATACGTTTTTATATGATTTTTACCTAAAATACTAAAAATATCAACTTGACAGTAAATGGCCAAAAAAAACCTAAAATAGATAATTTTACGTTGCTTAGAAATTTTCATTATTTGGTTTGAATATTTTTAACTGGATCTACTTGAAAATTCTTTTAATCAAACATAATAATCCAAATAACATGTAGGAAAAAAAATTACGCAGTTGGATATTAGTAAAATATTTTTAGAAATCCTTTAAAATTATTTAATAAATAAAATTTGCTGTATTTGCAAAAATAATATTTTTAACGAAAATACAAGTAAAAATTAAATTGCAAATAAAACTAATGGAACTATTACAATTTTTGAGGTTTTATAATTTTGACCATTACTGTATTTAAAGACTGCGTGGCCCTGGGCAATTGCCCCCAATGTCCCTTACATAATTTCTAACATTAAACATTTTTTTTTTTTAACTTTGTTAATCAACTTTTTTTGTCAATTTTAACAAATAAAATCAAACTTTAATTACAAAAAAAAACAATTAAATATTCTATTATAATTTTATTTTAAATTTTACTTTTAACTATAACAATATTTAGCAACTAAAAACTTTTATATTGATTTTATGAATACTATATTGCACAACTCAGATCGCTTTTTCTTAATGTGACATCTAATTTCCATTGAATTATCATAATAACCAAGTCTAATATAAATTATGCACGACATGGTCAATTGATAATCAAGATGTATCCAATAATAGTTTTACTTTTATAATATTGAGTAGTGGGTGAAACGTGAACAACAAAGGCCTATGGCAAGTCTGTCATGAGTAAAATAAGGGTTTACGAGTGGTATAGGCGTTTCCAAGATGGTCGTGAAGACGTAGAAGATAACGAACGCCCCAGTACATCAACAACCGATGAAAACGTCGAAAAAGTCAAAGAAATGGTTATGACGACAATCGTCGTCACAATCAAAGAAGTCGCTGATGATGTTGAAAATCAATTTGTTCGTGTCATGTTATTTTTTCGAATGTTTTGGGTATGAAACACGTAGCAGCAAAATTTGTTCCAAAATTGTTGAATTTTGAACAAAAATAGTGGCGAATAGAAGTTTGATTAGGAATCAGTTAATGAAGTCAACGATAATGCAGAATTACTAAAACGTGTTACAACAGGTAACGAAACATGGGTTCATGGATACGACGTCGAAACTAAGGCTCAATCGTCCCATAGGAGGTATTTTCGTTCGCCAAGACCGAAAAAGGCTCGGCAAGTGCGATCGAACATGAAGATTAAGCTCACTATGTTCTTCGATTTTAATAGCATAATGTATCATGAATTCTTACCACGTCAAGATCAATAAGGAGTAGTACCTACAAGTTCAACGCCGTTTGCGTGAAGAAATCCGAAAAAAACGCCCGGATTTATGGAAAAAAATTCATGCCTTTTGTACCGCGATAATGCACCTGCTCACACTTCATTGCTCGTTCGTGAATTTTTTACCAAAATAATACTGTAACGATGCCCCAGCTTCCATATTCGCCAGACATGGCTCTGTGTGACATTTTCTATTTCCAAAAATAAAGAAAATCTTAAAGGCCCGTTGTTTTACAAGCATAGATGTCATTAAAAGTGCAATAATCGCTGAATGAGCTGAAGGCTATGCCAAAGAACGTGTTTAAGAAGTGTTTATAGAATTAGAAGAAGCGTTGGCAAAAGTGCATAATATCTAATGGGGACATTTTTAAAGGCGACAACATTTATGTAAACGAATAAATAGTTTTTTTAAAAAACAAAAAATTCCTGTTATTTTCTGAACACATCTAGTATTTTAATTTAAGTTAAAAATTGATAATTAAATCGATGACGATAAGTTTACTTTTTATACAAGACTAAATTCAAGTATTTTCGTCGAATTAAATAATTTAAAAATAATTAATGTCAATATGTATCATGTTTTGTTATAACACTATATGTTGACTATTGCCTAGTTTTTTGTTATAACATATTACAAACACTTGTTTGATCAGCTGACGATTAAAATAATGAAACAAATTTTGATTCACTCAATGATTTTATTGATTTAAAATAACGTTAATTTTAGCTTCGATGCAAAGCTGAGAAGGTATTTTTAATAAAATAGTGTATTATAGTGAAGAAAAAAGAGGAAATTAAATAAGTTTATTAATAGAAGTCCTTTTTCTTGGGGAAACCTATAAATTAACAGTGTTATTACAAAACAAGATATAGCCATTTTTTTCAAATTTTTTAAAGACAATTATTATTCACAAAAAACATAACATTTTTGGTCTCAACCTACAATTTAACTGCATAAATATAAACATTTAAATATATACAAAATATAGGTACGTTATTTCAAATTATACTAGACTAGGGCAAATTTTTTACCGATCCATCATTTCAAAAAGCCACTATTTTCACTTTGATTTATCCCCCATTACTTAACTAATCTAATTTTATACATAAAAAAATATAATTTTTCAATGTTTATGTTTGTTTAAAAAATGAAGTTTATAATGAAAAAAATAATAAAATTTAAAACATATTTTGATGTATTACATCAAAAGTTGAATAAAATTGATAAAGACACCAATTACCCCCTCTAAAAATGGTAAATATTGAAAAAATAGTCAAATTTGAATTAAGCAACCTTAAAAACAATTTTTCTACTCAAAAGTAAAAATGTTGATATATTAATTTTGTCCTGTTTGAATTACGTTTTAAAACACTGTGAGGTCTAATATATACTGAAAATTAAAACTAGGGCAAATGCCCAAGCTGCCACCCTTCAAAATGACCCCCCTAATAAAATATATATAGTGTTCAGTAAAGAAATAAACGTGTTTCCTTACTTCCTGAACACCCTGTATAATTATTTGTTAATAAATAACTTTAAAAAAACATAATTTTAAAATTAAGTATGCTAATCAATTGAATTTTATTTTATTTATTATTTAATTAATTAATAATAATAAATACGAGTTATCCGATCTGAATACATATAATGCTCCATAAATTGTATTCTCATGCCTAAGTCTATTAATTTTAATCGCTTACGAAACTAACACAGTGAATGCAATGAATATACTCGAACTAATTTCAAACAAACGATATATATATATACAGAAAAAACATAAAAAAAGCTATTAAAATCCTATCAAAATTTTAATAATTACTTAACGTAGACACGTTTACTGATAGCATGACCTACTTATTTTTACTGAGAAACATATAAAACTTAAACTAGTAGTTAGATATTAAAAACTATGAATATTATGAAATAAAGTGCAATTGATAGTCTGAAAAAAAATTATAGATATCAAAAAGAATAAATTTATTAGCACAATATAAGATAGACGATGAAAGGGTTATATATGGACTATAAGATTTGATGGGAGTCCAAGAATTAATTTAGCAAAAAATACGGTGTTAATATTAAAAAAATCTAATTTTACAACCTCAAAATCTAATAATATACTACGAAAACCGCGCCCTTTTGAAAATAGATACCAATACAACCAATCTTTTACATAAAAAAAAATTGTATTTTTTTAAAAACTCGATAATTTTGATAAAACACAAAGAGGTGTTATATCATAGCGCTTGTGGATCCGAAATAGCTAATCACCGTATCTGTTCAAGGCTTCGTACATGAACTTGACCAAACATCATTCGCCACTGTGCAGCACTCCCAAACAGGTGCATTTTGTTTATTCAATGCATCTGTGATAAAAATTAACATTCCGACAACCATTTAAACTCCAATATTAGCTATTGTATTTTGTGAATGTTCCGGGATTCAGGGTTTATCATAACAATAGAGCATGCATAATCAAAAAGAAAAGGGTAAAATGAAACACGTTTGATATTATCTCTTATCCAAATAGTTATCGGTAAAATAACACAATTGGATATGTAAATAAATAATTAATTTTTTCAACTAACTTAATGTGTAATGAAATATTAATACCAGGCTGACATATCAACGGCAGCCTAATATTGTCTTTAACCATTGATTATCTCTATGGAATAAGTATCCAATATTATTTGTGAACAAACATTTACCTGCAGAATCATCGGAAAAAGGCGCTGTCATATGTTCCAGGGCCACGTCGTCTCGCTGAGTTGACGGACCCGCAGCAATCGCTGTCGTATCGCCATCGCTGCCTTCCATTTTAAACGCTATCAACACTACCCGTTCAGTCTGATCTTCACGTTCGCTGTTTGATTCAGTGTTACTGCAGTTACCTCCTCCGCCAACGTTTTCGTCTCCAACCATGATGGCTGATGTGAACTTTGACAATTGAGCCGTCATTTTTCCACGACATTTCCCACAAATGACAACGATGTAGGTCGGTAGGCCATCACTTGCACTTGTTTTTCACGGCAGACGCGCACGTCAGACATAAACACACATACGCGCACACACTTGACCGAACAGGACGACAACCGTACGGGCGGGCTAGAAATGATATTGATGTTTTTTTCTAGCGAGTAAACGATTTTACGACTTAACGAAGTTTTACAAAGGTTTAAAAGATAAGGAAGGTTTTCGTTTTTCACTACAGGAGAGGACGAAAAAAGTGAAAATTAATAATTTGGTTTCTAAACGACATAAAAAATAACAATAACATCGTAGTCGACTTACGCAGTAAATGCAGGCTGGCCTCATAAATGATACAAACAAAATGTAGGTCATGAACCAACAATTATTGAAAGAAAAATTAATTTGCATTGACTGTACCAGACCAAAAGATCAATTAACGCTTATACTCAGTATGTTTTTAATAATTTTGAGTTTGAAAAGGACAATAACTTATTAAAATTGTAAATTTAAAACAGTACCCAGCCCATTGAACGACACCTATGAGCACGATAAGAAACTAGTAAGAGAGATTGGTGTCACTGTAACAAAATCACATATTATTATTATTGTTATCATTTATCATTCCTTCACTCCCCTCCCTATATTCCATATGATGTAGTATTATCGCAATTTCAGTTTGTGAACCATATAGTAATAAAAATAAAACAAAATCTTAGATGTTTTGCGTTCAAATCACTTTTATGATTTTATTTTAATACAGATAATTTGAATTTAAATTTATCCAAGTAATGGCTGTTTCTACAACTCTACAGGTATAAAATAATTTAACATAACGTTAAGTTATCCCTAATATTATATAGTATGTATTGGTAATTATATCATCAATTTTAATTTCATAAAACTCTTCGTCTACCTAAAGTAATGATTCTATTTTCTTTGTTTAATGAGCCAGCTATATTAAGTAAAATATATTCATGTTTTACTTTATTTAATACCTTTTGTTAAATTTATTGTGAGTAAAACAATATACTATTACATATATTTTTCATGTATTATTACAAAACTATTCTATAAAATAAATGTCATTGGAGAGTAATAATGTATTGCTGTTTTTTTTTTTATTTGTAAAAAGAAACTAAATGAAACGTTTTAAAGAAGTAGTTATTCATGCTCTTTAATTAGAAATCTAATTTTTCTTTAAATTTTTATCAGGTCTTTAAAAGTATTTAACTTTTTAATATTTATAAAAAATATATGATTAACGCCCTGAATAAATTTGTCTAACTTATTCAATTAAAAAAACTTTATTTTGTAACACTGAGTTAGGGAATAAGAGCATAAACAGAGATTTTATAATACATGATTGTTATTTAAAATCTATAATACATTTGTGTAATAATTTTAAGTTTGTTTTTTTTCTGCAGAAAGCAATAGACTTAGTTACAAAAGCAACTGAAGAAGATCGCAACAAAAACTATGAAGAAGCATTAAAACTATATGAGAGCGGGATTGAATATTTTTTACATGCTCTTAAATGTAAGGGAGTCATTTTGAATAATTATTGATTTATAGAATTTAATGATATGTATCAATTAAAAATACAATACATATTTATATTTTATACTAAGAATGTTAAAAGTTTTAATATAATTTAAAAGATTACTTTTATATGAATTTTTTTATGAAAGGTTTAGTTCTTTAATCAAATATTGTAATAACACTTAATTTATCCAATTTAATAGTAATGTAAATAACCCATTATTAACTACCAGATACTATAATAACATTTTATGGCTTATTAATTTATTTATTAAAAGTTATACTGTGTATTAATGCTAACAACTTTCTTAGATGAAACTCAAGGGGATAAAGCTAAAGATAGTATACGTAGTCGCTGTACTCAATATTTAGAAAGAGCAGAAAAATTAAAAGATTATTTAAAAAATGGAAAAAATAAAAAGAAACCTGTAAAAGCTGGAGAATCTAATTCCAAGTAAAATATAAAATAAAATGCATTTTTTAAAGTTTATACTTAAAAATACTCATAATTTTTAAAAGAAATGATGATAAGAAAAATGATAGTGATGATGACGGCGATGACCCTGAAAAGAAAAAATTACAAAACAAGTTGGAAGGTGCTATAGTTGTTGAAAAACCACATGTTAAATGGTCTGATATTGCTGGTTTGGAAGGTGCAAAAGAAGCGCTAAAAGAAGCTGTAATTCTACCAATAAAATTTCCACATCTTTTTACCGGAAAAAGAATTCCTTGGAAAGGAATATTACTGTTTGGGGTGTTTATCAAATTTTTAAAAATAATTACTTTTTTTTAACAAATTAATTGTATTTAAAAATTTTAGCCCCCTGGAACTGGTAAATCATATTTAGCAAAAGCTGTAGCAACGGAAGCAAATAATTCTACATTTTTTTCTGTGTCATCATCTGATCTTGTTTCCAAGTGGTTGGGAGAATCAGAAAAACTTGTCAAGAATCTTTTTGAATTAGCTCGACAACATAAACCTAGTATTATATTTATTGATGAGGTTGACTCACTTTGTTCTTCACGATCAGACAATGAATCAGAATCAGCTCGACGTATTAAGACCGAATTCCTTGTACAAATGCAAGGTAAATTATTTTTTCATTAAAAATTCATTACAATCACGTTAATATGTGTGATAGCAAAAAGAAATAATCTGTTCAAGGTTCACTTTTTTTTTTCTTGAAACTATCAAAAAATTACGATAAATATCTCATGGAAACAATCATGAGACTGTCTCTACTTGTCAAGAAAGAAATTTTCTTATTTAATAGTAATGACTTAATCCAAAGCTTAGAAGTATAATTAACTTTCTTGAACTGGAACTATTTTGTTCAAAAATTATGGATTCTTCTAACAAAAAATTAAACTATAGCAATTTATTATACTTAGTTAACACAATTTCGATTACTTATCATAAACACTTGTTGCTGCTTGTTAAAAGTAAATAGACTGAAATTCTATTTATTTATTATTTTAACTTTTATTGTGGTAAGTATGGATTATACATATTTACTTAAGAGGTATTAGTGCAAATAACAAGTATTTATGATTTAGTAAAAATTATTTTATATATCAAAAATTATTCCTAAATACTCTTATTAATTTTTCTTCTTCAATAATGTAATATTTGATTGTGAAAAAAAACAAATATAGGAGTTGGTACTGATAATGAAGGTATTCTTGTATTGGGAGCCACAAACATTCCATGGGTCTTAGATGCAGCTATACGTAGACGTTTTGAGAAACGTATTTATATTCCTCTACCAGAAGAACATGCTCGGTTGGATATGCTAAAACAAAATTTAGGTAACACATACAATACATTAACAGAGATGGATCTTAAACAATTAGCAGCCAAAACTGAAGGGTATACTTAAATTTAAATTCAATACTCTGTAATGAATTTTAATTTCTTATCACATTAATTTAGATATTCAGGGGCAGATATTAGTATAGTTGTAAGAGATGCCTTGATGCAACCAGTACGTAAAGTTCAAACAGCTACACATTTCAAAAAAGTCACTGGTCCTAGTCGAGCTGATCCTAAAGTCATTGTTAATGACCTACTTACTCCTTGTTCGCCAGGAAGTCCTGGTGCCATAGAAATGTCATTCATGGAAGTTCCTAGTGACAAACTTCTTGAGCCAGCAGTATCTATGGTAAGATTCTAAAATAAATTACTTTTAAATAGTAATGATCAATTACTAACAATAACCATTATTTTTTGTACTATAGAGTGATATGCTTAGATCTTTAGCTACATCTAAACCTACAGTAAATGATGAAGATATGAAAAAACTTGATAAGTTCACACTAGATTTTGGGCAAGAAGGTTGATTATAAGTTCTAACTTATAAATGTGCAGGTTTTATATAATTGATGTTTAAAGGTATGTTTTTATTTGATTGTAAAAATGTATATTTTCAAATAGTTAAATCTTTGATTATAAGATAAAGAAGCCTCAGTAAAATTTTAAATTGAAATATTATAAAAAAAATTTTTTTAATTTTTAATATTTTAATTTAAGAAACATTATTTTGATATTATTACTTCCAAGTAATTAATAAAAAAAACTTTTTTATAATGGATATTTATTTTTATATTTTTAATCCTCCTCCAAAAATTTGATTAAATATAATCTAATGTAATATTTTCTAAGATCGAAGAACTTATTAAATTTAATAAAATGGTAGAAAATATATTTTTGTATGTTGAAAATCTTTTTATATAATTTTTGCCCTTTGGTAAATATTTTTCATATTTAAAATGTGAAACTAAAATTTCAAAATATTTGCTTAAACTTCTAGGCAAATATGCTTATAATTTAATAAAAAAAAATTGCCATTTAGTTACAATTTTTTAAATATTTCATGCAAAAATAAATAATTACTTCACTTATAAAAATAATTTTTATGGCTTTTCATCTCAAGATTTTATTTAAAAATATCATAGCATAAAAAAATGAAACAAACTATTCTTCTTAAACTCCTAATAATTTAAAGTTTAGTTAAGTGCACTTATTAATATTATCTTACTAATTTATTCTTTTATTATATATTAATATTTTATTAGGTTAATATTACTGTTATATGTAATATATATATATAAATATGAAGTTGAGTAAAAGTTCTATTAATTAAATACACACAATTAAAAATAAAATGGACAACAAATTCAAAGAACACTAGAATTACATAAGCATAAATTATTATTGTTATTTGTTACTTTTTTAAATTATTTAAATATTATGCAAATGTAATAACAAGGACTAAGACATTACTTAAAAAATGTATTTTTTTTATAATCGTCAGACTAGAATTCTTAATAGCTAATAACTAAAATACATTAAATATATTTTTGAGAGATTGAAAAACTTATTTTCTTTTTTACTTATAAATTATGCTAAAATACATATTTTTGTATGATAGCATAGGTAATTAATAAATAAATTTAAAAATATTTATTTTTGTTAGTTTGTAAGGGAATTAAAAAAATAATATTTACTAATTATTTATAACAAACAAATGTATTTAAATCTAGGAAAATAGTAATATAATCAATATAAAACATTCAATATTAAGATTGTGGATGCCTTAAATAATCTACGTTAAAATATACAATTGTAATAGTTATATCATCTCTAAATGATCTAACAATATTTTTTGGTAAATTTAATAACTGTGATAGTTTAGCATGTTCTATACCATACTCGGTCCCTCCTAATGCATTCCGTATAAGATGAGTGCATGCATTTGCATCAACAGGTTTCTTTTTTAAACTTTCCCTTCTTTGTTCAAGTAAATTACTTATATCACTTAATTTCATATTATTTTTAGGTAACTTTAATGGTTTTAAGGTAACTTTTCCACTCATATGCTCACCTACTAAACGAACAACCTATTCAATATAAAAATAATAACTATGAAATCTTTGTAATATACATTTTATCACATTAAAAATATTATAAAGATTAAAAAGAATAAAGTTGTGGATGATAAAATAATATCTACACTAATTTTAATACTTTAGTAATTTAAGCACCATAAAAAATTTTTAATTAGATCAAATAATCATTAAATAATATGTATTAATTTTTGAAAAGCTAATATTAGGATGTAATTAACCAAAGCTAAATGAGTTTTTTTTATTTTTTTAATGAATTGTATGACTATTGAGATGACTTAAATTTGATATATGTGTATTAAATTTATCAAACTAGTGCCTCTTGTACAAAATGAAGCATTTTTAACATTTTAGAGGGGTTAGAGAGGTTTGGTGAATATTTATTTTAATTTCAAAAAAATTGGGTCCGAGATTCTACAAACACAATTAATTTTTATATATAGCTTATAAAACAATTTTTCTCTATCTTGATTGAAAGATCTTTTGAATAATATAAGAATTTGATTAATTTTGCACATTAGAAAATTGAAGTTAATATAGTCAAAGACTATTGATTCTTATTTCATTTTGTAGCTGTGGGTATATGAATTCAGAATCTATTATATATTTTGAAATGATATAACCACTTCATATCCTATGATTGCCTAGATAATAGGTAAAATATAATAAACATACTAATAATATAATATTGTTTTATATTATGTAAAATATCACATTCAAAGAAACCTAACTAGTTTTATAACATAATTTTTCAAAAGATAAATCTGAAATGACTATTTAAAATTTTTAACTAGATTTTTATTTATTGTTTATGAAACTATTGATCTATTATAAAAAAAATATACCATGATACCTGTAATGGGGTCATAAAATCCCAAAGACCATCAGATGCAATTATAAGAAATCTGTCTCTTGGTTGTAAATTATGGTAAATAACTTGTGGTTTTGCAGTAAGGTATGGAGGAGTATAATAAAATGATGGTATTGCATTTTCACCAACTATAGGAACAATGTATTCAGATAGCATATCTCTGGACCATTTATACCTAAGGAAGACAAATATATATATATTTTGTATGCTTTATATTCAACAGTAACAACATGAATAGATATTGTGATAGAAACAACATACATTACATATAAATAATATAGATAATATAAATAATTAAAAATATTAAATGAATAAATAAAAGTATGAATTATTAAAATATAGGAGCTTATGAAGTAATAAATAGTCAGGTAGATAGATTGGAATCCCGGTACCCTTTTTTTTAGTCGTTCGATGATGTTAAATTTGTCAGGATTATTCAGCCTCCATTCATCAGTCCATTTAGAGTTAATAAACTTTTTATTACAAAACATAATAAAAATTCTAAATTTGTTTGTATTAAGGCCTGCAATTCTACTACTGGTCCATTATTACTATTTTTTTTTTTTATCTTTTAGATTTTTATAAAGTTAAGAAATTAGTAGAGGTTTTACATTAATAATATATAAATATTTATTAAATTGTTTTTAGGAATATTAGTCTTATTGATAGAACAAAAATACCTTAAGTCTCCAAAAGCTCTTAAAGGAGCAAGTTCACCTAGTAGTCTTTCATTTTTAATAACAGTATCTTTCTCATTAGAAGGGTGTTCTGAAAGTACCCTATTAAATTCATGAATATTATCTGTATTATGTTCTTCAACCATAACCTGTTATTGAATTAAGTAATTAATAATTGTTAATAAAGTTTAAAATTTGTATGAAAAAAACTATTACAGTTGAAATTCAACTGTAAAACTTCTGTATGGATTGAAATTTGACAGTGATTAACATCACTAGCATAAAACACTTAGATACTATTGTTTAGAAAGATAAGAATAAAAAAAATTGACAGAACTTTTACAAATTTTAACTTTGGCTGTCTATTACTTAAACAATAAATTGTTGTAAAATTTTTTTGTTTTTTTAATCTTAAAATACATTTTAAAAATCTTTAATTTGATTTAGGCTGAATGTTCCAAAACATCAAAATTTGATGAAATAAAAAATTTTGTGTACATATGTTTCTGTGTATAGTTTTTGAACTATTGATTTTAATTAGTTTTGTAAAATGCATATTAATAGAAAGACAATTTAACATGAGTGTAAAGTAAGCAAGTTTTTTGAAACATCATCAAACATTTTTAAAAATAATGTTAACATGATTTTTAAATCCCTTACTACAGTACTTTGATTAATGTTTAGATTTACAAAAAAGTATATTGTCAGTAAGGTAAATGTCTTAAATATCATAAGTAAAAATTTCATAATGATCCATTTACTTTTTAAAAAGTTATTTCAATGTAAAATAAAAATTATAAGTACTTATATTGACTGTTATAAAAACTGTAATTTTTTGGAACATATTCCTTTATTGTGGGAAATATTTCCAAATTATGGCGTTGATGGCTACAGTTAGATATAATTTCATGATGATTTTTTATAGATTTTTTGAACAAAATCAGTTCAGTTGGAGTTAAGTGTTCATATGAGCACTAAAAAAAAGACAAAATAAAACCAATATCTTCTTGGCTATTCATCATAGCTTCAAAAACTAACAATTTTTTTTTTATAGTATTTAGTGATTAAACTTATTAGAATGTAATATAATAAGATTTAAATATTGGTTACTTATCTTGTATACATTTTAATTTTTATCAAAATGCACTATTAAAATTGTTTTATTTTAGGTTTAAGTTATTAACAGCTTAACGCTATTTTAAAAAAATAATTAGCTACTATTGAGTATTATTTATTATTTATAAAATATTTACTTTGGCAATCCATGTGTTATCATCAGTATATACACCAACAACAGCTAAACAATCTCCTGCTGAAGCAATATGCATATGAGGACCATCAATATGAGCAACACACACAACAGCACCAGATAAGCCAACATTTAAAGTAAGATTATCCACAGTATCATTGTTTGTTTTTAATTTTACTTCAGATAAAATATCTTCATCTAGTTTTAAAAATGATTTTTCTAAAGCATCTTTCATTTTAAACTGATTCTCCTGTTTATCATTTATAAGTTGCAATACATATGATTTAAGGCTTTGGGCATAAACATTTTTTAATTCAGGAACTAAGTCATAGGTTTCATTTTGCATTTCAACCAACTGATTACCATTTTCCATATATTCATGAAGTTGTGGCTTTGGTAAGAGACTAACGCATATATATTCAAAAAGCCGTTTTGCAATAACATGTGAACAACTTGGACCACCATGTCCATCAAACACACCAAATAACATCCCTAAAAGAAATATACATATTTACTATAATAATTTATAACTGTTATAGGAATTTTTAATTCAATACTTATGAAAAAGAATCAAGTTATCAAAATATACAATAATCAAAAATTATAATACAAAAAATATTAAATTAAAATAAAAAATAACATATTTATTTATTATGAATTAATTTTTATTTTATTTTAATTAAAGTGGAAAATAAATTAAGTTAAATACTTGAGATGCATAATGATCTAAGTCCATTTTTTTCATTTTTCTAGAAAAACAAAAATTAATTTTATTTACACTACATGTTCTTATGGGGTTGGCCTGGCCTAGTGAGTAGAAACATATGATACCCAGGGTGCCAACAAGACTTTTCTCATGATTTTTTATTGATGGTGTCTGGTCTCTGATGCAAGCCTGCCATAATACCCGTCCCGTCCATAATTGACTTAGCCAAGAACCATCTTTGACTCCCTAAAATATTAAAGAGGGCTACCACCCTCTGTATGATGTTAAGTTCAGAATATAGAAAGATGTAAAACTGATAATTTCCATTACATATCCTTAAAATATTTAGCCTCATTATTTATGTTTTTTTAAAGCTATAATGATACAACTAAATCGCATAAACTTTAAAACTGTTTTTATTTTTTAACTTTAAAAATTATAAATATAAATGTTTGCAATTTGGCTTTTAACTCTTATATTAAATTCTGAGATTCTAGCAATGAGATGTCAAAAATTCATTTTGAAAAAGTGGACTAGATAGTTATGCTTTTCTATACAGAATTAGTATAGAAATACATTACATAGATAAATTTTAAAATTTAAAACTTGTATTTAAGGAGAATTAATTAATAATTTTTCATGCAAAACTTACAAAATCTTTAAATTCATTTGGAAGAAGTAAACAAAATATGATATGGTTTACCATTATGGATATAGATAGAAAAAGTTTACTTTTACAATAAGTTTAATAGTTTATTATTTTGGTTAATTGTTAAAACACCTTTAGCTACAGGAGATTAATCAATTTTTTTATTTTTGATGTTTTAATAAAATTCATCTGAATTGTTTTTTAATTAACTAAGAAACTTGAACAAGCACTCTTACCAGATGTAAGTAAACATTTGGCCTCTGCACGAGTATCTTCAATAGGAACATTAGATCCTAATTGATTAGTCTCATAGGCTTTAATTGACCCATAACTAGGATCAAATTCATAGGTATGTTCCTTGGAGCTTAAAATAGCAGTAACCTAAAAACCAACGTGTATTATATCGACGTTTTAATACTCCTAAAATAGATTATATACTTCTTGAGGTGTGATTTTCTTAGATATAACAGATGTGTGAATACAATTTGAACAAAAATTTAATTTAAATAATTTTTTAAACCTTATTACACAAACATTATAAGAAAAAAATGTAAACGACATACTGTTGATTGCATTTGAATTTTTTAAATTTAATGGATACTAAATATATTTTTTGATAACATATAAATATGATAACATTAATAAAATGATAGATGGATTACATTATCATTACAAATACATAGAGTTTATTATCTATATCTGTTAGAAACATATGACTACTAAGAATAGTCTGTGATTACAATATGATTTTATTTTAACCATGGTATGTTTAAACAGTTATAAACAACGAAAATCTCGATAACGGCTATAGATTAAGTCGTAGCCTCAATGTTGTTGGAATATCTATTAACAATTCAATACAACATTGATGTAAGCAGTTGATTAATTTATTTCTTATAAAGTATATTTTAAAATATATCTTCGTACAAATATATTTCTTATATAGCAACTTGAATTATGGTTCACGTCTCTAAAGGGACATTAATTACATGGTTTGTTGAACTTTTTAAAATTTTATGTATAATTTATAAGCAATAGAAAACTTTAATCAATATAATCTAAATCTTCTGATATTCCAAATTGTTTATTCATCATACTATCTTCAATAAAGAATTTTTTTCGGCACCATGATTTCACTGAGTAAATGTTGTCAGTCCATCTATTCCCTGCTTCTTTGGCAATCTATTTATAATATACATTTAATAAAATTAGACTACTTTTTTAGTTACATTATTTAATTAAAAATGAAATCCTACATCTATATTCTTCAGCATTTTTTCAAAATCATCAGCATTCAAATCCTTGTATTTATTCACCTCCATGTCTAACTTAGATTTTTCATCTTGAAGAACTTTCAATTTCTTCAGTAAATCTGTTCTTTCATTTGAATCTTCTTTCCCAATTCTTTCTCTTTTTAAAAAGTCTAAATTTTCATCTAATTTTCGTTTATATTCTTCTAATTTTGCTTTTGCATTGTTTAAATTGGCTATTTTAGCAGCTTTAGCTTTGCTAAAAAAAAATAATTTTAAAATATGAAATTGTTTACTTAATTATTTATATTAGTATTGAATGTACTAATAAAAACCAATACATTTTATTATAGTTTACATTTTTACTATAATATACTTATATAGAAATTTTTTTCACCTTGGAAAAGCCCAAAAATATATTGATGAACCTATTTTATCAGTATCGACTAAACCATCGTCAACTAAAGCTTGTACAACATCTTTAACGGATTGAACAACAATTTGTTTTTCTTTCGGAGCAATTTTTTCTAAATCCTAATTATAATTAATCTTTATGACCACTAATTTAAATAATTTACTTGTTTTTCTATAAAATAATTACCTTGAGTTGAAAAAAATCTTTTTTTTCATGAAATATCTGTAACATTCTTTCCCTTTTTTCATCAGCACTTACAGTTTTTCTTTTAGACATGCTAATGTTTATAACACCACTTTAAATCAATCTACAATATAAATAACAAATTACTAAAATTATTTATTTAACATATTCTATGTTGTTAAATAATAGAATTAAAAATATTATTCACTTCATAACCAAAATAAGATACTAATATTTTATTAAAAATTTTAAGTATTTTTTTTTATATAATAATGTATATCAGTGTGTACCCAGGGGATGAGGAACTCATCCTCCTTTGATAGCAATTCATCTCTAAAATTAAGTGATAAGTAAAAAAAAAGTCCAAATATGGAATTTTGTAGATTTTTTATTGCTCTCCCCAGTATTAAAATTAATAAATTAAACATTTGCCGTTAAGTTAATTGTTTTATGATTCTCAAAAAATTCAAATCTTAGTTTTATAGTATTAAGTCAAAAAATGTATACAAAATAATATAATCCAGACTTCTAATTATCGATATATGTATATAATAACAATGTTTCATAAAATCTCAAATTTGGTTGTATAAAGAAACTTTTTAATAGATTTTTTAATCTATCAAAATCTGATTACTTTCATGATATTAGATGAAAAAAGGTGTTAAATAATTTATTTATTTGACATCAATTCTATATTTTATAATAAATAAATACATTATTTACTTTCATGTAAAATTATTTATATTATAAAATTTTAATAGTATAAATTGCAGTAGTAGACACTTATGAATCAATTCTTTAATTTAGATTCTTCAAATTTCAATTTTATATAATAAATAGTCAAATATGATACAATTATCTTATCAGACTTTTATATTAATATACATTTTTATTTTTTAGTGATCAGTCTATGAAACAATTTTTATTACAACTAGATCAAACCAATGCACTCGGTAAAAAATTTATACTACAAGAATTAGATGATGAACACCTATTTGTTTCATCTGATGTATTAGAAACCTTAGAGGATCGTGTTGATGAATTGATGGATCAACTTACTTTTACACAGAATTAATTTTAATAGTAGTTTGATTTGGTTTATGATTATTATTTCATTTTTTTCATTACAAACAATGGCTAATAAAATAAGTATAGGAAGGGAATCGGGGAGATTAAAAGATGCAGATAAAAAAAAGGTACTTGATGAAGCAGCAAGAAATCGTAGAGCACGAAGAGCATTAGAAAGTTTGGAAATGGATAACTTTCAACAAGATCCACATGCAGATATTATTTTAAATAAAAAAGCACCAAAGTTTTTAGATACTATAGAATCAAAAGGACGGCGCAAAAAAGAAAAAAGTGCAGAGTATTATAAACAAAAGTAATTTTTCAACCCTTTAATAGAAATCTTCACAATAAAATCACTTACAATAATCATTTTCACTCTATAAATAAGGTTTATACATGTACCATTATATATTTCTGCATATTATGCAGAAATTAAAATTGTGACAAATGTCATTTAAACAAGTGTATTAATTTAGTTTATTGTATGCTTTAAATATATATGCCACAAGTTCATACTTCTTAAATATTGGGTTCAGTATCTCATAAGGGCTGGTCAAACATCTGGCAGATGCCTGAATACCAATAAAACTCGCTCTGAGATAAAAAGACAACTTAAAAAACAATTACATTTCCTTAAATAGTAATACATATGAATTATTTATGTACTCTTTACATTATCAAAATAATTTCAATAAAGGCCCATTTTTATAGATGAAATTAAAAACAACTTTTTAATGCATACATATGTGCACTTCCATATAGTGAATAATTAACTTAGGTGGTATAGTTTAAAATAACAACAACAGTGTTCAATCCTGACATTTTTCTAGAGGGGAGGGATCTCAAAGCATTAAAACAATCAAAAAAAAGAAATTAAACCAATATTTTCATAAAATTTTTACAAAAAAAATTTAATGAGCAAAAAGTAAGATCTATAAACTCAACAATTAATTAAAAGTATTAAGTTATACATTTTAATAATAGTTGTATCATTTATTTGCAATAACATACATTTGATGATATATTTTAATCTATACAAAATTGAAGTACATTAATAGATATAGATCCATTTTAGATAGCTATTTTATATACTAATGAAAATAAACATTGATGATGAACATTATGTAATTTATAATTGCTTAGATTCCGAAGAACGTTTGTACAACTGGTTGAAGATGATCAATTTAATAATCCTGATCCACCAAATTATGTTTCTATTGAAGCACCCCCTTCAGGTTTACCCCGACGTATATTTTGTGCAGTGTGTGGATTTCCAAGCACATATACGTGCACAACATGTGGTGCACGATACTGCTGTTTGTCATGTCTGGATACTCATCAATCAACTCGATGCCTTAAATGGACTGCTTAACTTAAAATAACAAAACAATGGTATTTTTTTATGTATTCCACAAAAGAAAATAATTTGTTGATAATTTTATTTTCCAATAATATATTTCTATGTATGTAATTACAATATTATTATTTTCTATAGATGAATTCTGCTTAAATAATATGTTTTTTTCATTATTATTATTAGCTTTTGACATAATTTTTTTTTTTTCATCTGAATAAATTTTTCTAATTATTTGTTAATAAATATTCAAGAATTATGAAAAAAAATTTGATTAAAATAATTTAATTAAATATTTATAATCTATCATCCAAAATAATAATACTTATATTTAAAATATTATTTTGGTAATGATTGACCACTATTCTTAGAAAATAATTATAATCTATAATATTACCATAGAAAAGTAACTTAGATTATTTCTCTGTATCCTTCAAATTTCATGATTTTAAGACATTATTTAACTTAATACTAAGACAATAAAGATAAGTTAATAATGATAAAATCAGCTAAACCAACATAAAAAATATAATTAAATAAATAACAATGGATATATTTTTAATATTTTATTTATTGGTATATTTTTACACATAATAGTTTTATTTCACAAAAATTAAAACAAAACTTTCCTAAAATCACATTTATTAAACTTGCTGTACAGTTTGTATTAACCTTTTAATACTTTTAAAAATTACATTATCATTAATTTTACTATAATTTAAATCATTTGATGAATGCTCAGTTTTCTTTGTATTAGTGGCTCTACCATCTTCTGTTGATTCTGAAGGTGAAGTTGGTGGTTTACTTTGTTGAGGTTTTGATTTATAATCTACTTTAGAAATTAAATCATCAACAAGGTAGGTTAAGCGTCTAAGTTCAGCACTGTGTTGTTCAGACATCAAATTTAAATCTCGTAAAGTATTATTCAAGTCTTCTAATTCTTGCAAACGTATTTCTTCTTTTGCTTGTTCTTTTCGAACTTGCCTGTTATACTCTAATAATAACAAAGCGGCAGCTACAAAAAAAATTATTCCTTCACCCAATAAATTGGATCCTAGCTCAATTGCTTGAGTTTCACTCAAAGGTGTAACTTTACCAGCCATTCCTAAATTCATCACATATAATTTCATTTTAACCTCACACCAATTATAAAATTGAGCGGGAGGCATACAAACATAGGTTCGAAAAACTGGAGACTGCTTAGCACGTTCTTTAACAAAATTAGCAATTGGCTTGCTTACTTGTCGTAAAAGAAGTGCGCCAAGTTTGGCTGCAGGGAACGCACCAAGTGCCACCATAATTGAAAAACAACACTATATTTTTCCTCGATTAATAACAAACATCACATTTAAAAATCACAAATTCTTTAGTAATACGAATGGATAGAATTTATCTATTAAAAAAAAATTGCAATATAAATTATAAAAATTCATTTGATAAGATAAAAAAACAATGTCTTCAGCACACTCTATAATTTGTGGCGTTATCATTTGTAACAGCTGCATTCTTAATAAAACTAATCCCATATGTTTTTTTTTTTTTATTGAAATAAAGGTTACAGCAACAAAGGCTATTACTGCCCATATGTTTTATTCACAACGAAAATAATGAATTATAAAATAATAACAGTTATAATAGTATTTAGTATGTTTCTTAACAACATTAATGGGAGAAATCTCCAAAATAATTACAAATTTAAAAATCGCTAATTTTCGACATTTTTTCAATTTTTTTTAATTAAAACTGCCATAACTTTTTGTTTGTTATTAAATATAATTTTTTTTATAGATTAGATATTTATGCTTGATGTCTTTACCTATCATTTTGTATATTTTTTTTATAAATTTGACCCTTTACCTGCCCACAGGAGGGGATTCAAAATTACAACTTTTTCAACTTAACTTTTGAAAGTGTTCCGAAAAGTCTGACACTTTCATATATATCTTAAATTAAAGCTTATGTAGTATATTTAATTATGAAAAAAAAAATTTTGGACTTTAATTTGTCTTCACGATGTAAATGGCTACAAATGCTATTTTTGTGTGAAAATTCTCAATTTTGTAATATACATTTTTAACTTTCAATACAATTTTTTTATGACATCCATCAATACATATTTTTATGTAGCTGTTTTCCTAGAGTCAAATACTTGGGGGCGAGAGTAAGGCAATAATTTGATTTGATATGGCGACCGTCCATCCTAAACCCTCCCCTCTTGGTGCCATACCTAAGACAAAGCTGCTTACAATAGTAAAAGTTAAATAACTAATATGTCAAGCAGCTACTGCTTTGAAGTAACTAAATTTGAGCAACGATATAATTCAATTTATTTAACACTAATTTAAAACAAAATATAAAAATTCTTTTACTACTTACAATTATGTTAATAAAATTCTTCTTAGGTCTTTATAAAAAAATTACTATGCAATTGACATATATAAATACTTAAATTAACATTTATAATAGTAAATATAAAAAAAACTGTTCACTGATTAAATACAAAATGTTTTCTTCTATTATCAAATAATTAATGTATTACAATTATTTCATTTATATAATCTCTTATATTTACCGCCAAGTAAGATAACATTATCAATATAAAATCAGGCAATAACATGATTGTGCTAGATAGAATTATGCTTTATTCTTGTATGTTTCATGTAACAATAAACCATAAATTAACCCAGCCTATTAGTATCCATGTTACATCATATAACAAATATTGTGTAGATTTTAAACAAATCAATATTTATCACGCCAATGTATCAATTTACTCTATAAAATAAAAATAATAAATATGGATTTTTATTCTGTAAATATTTGATTAAGACCTTACTTATTTTCTATAGTGAAATTACTAGCGGAGCACAAGGACAGATACCGTAGTGCATGTTGTTTGCTGACGATATAATAATAATCAAAGGCTATATGAGTGGAGATTGATTCTTGAAAGAATGGTATTAAGAATAAGTAAGAGTAAAACAGAGTATATAGAGTACGAGTTTGACAAAGGAGTACACGAGGAGAGTGAGATCAGTAACAATAAGCGAGGACGTTAAAGGAGAAGTGAAAAGTATTTAAAATCAGCTTTGCAAAAGAATGGTGATATTGACGACGATTTAAGACTCAAGATTAAGTGCGAGCGACTGGAATGGCGAGAAGCGTCAAGTGTGTTATGCGATAAAAGAATTTCAATGAGGCTGAAAGGTAAGTTCTATAAGACCAGTAACTCAGTAAGACCAGTTATGATGTATGGTTCGGAGTGTTTGACAAAAAAGTAGAGCAGAGAATGAGAATGCTAAGATGGATGAGTGGAATAACTAGAGAAAATAGGATAGAGAATGAACATATAAGAGGGAGTTTGGGTGCTGCTTGTTCATAATTTCCGGACTAGACCACGGTTAGATATGACCGAACCGTGATCTAGTCCACTTCAGTCCGGACCGGTTCAAACCAAACCATGCAGAGCTCTACCCACAACTAACTCAGCCAATACTTCCCACTCATGAAAAAATTCTAATCGTACTAAATAGAATATATTGAAGTGCTTAGTCTAATAAAAATATCTAGTTCTAGGTTATAATCTTAAAACATAATTATGAACAAACAGCATAATAATAAATTATAACTAAGTGATATAATTAAGTAAATGGTAACTGATTATTAATTATTACTTAAAGTATAATGTCGGTAGGTCTATAGCTACTTTTTAAGTGCGCCTAATTTAAAACCAATTATGATCCATTAATTAAAAGTATTCTTTTATACTACAAAATATTAAAATTCATTTCTATTTTTTTTATAGGCGTTTCACACTTGTATAACTAGGGAAGTTAAATCCTTTCCCCAAATCAAAAAAATTCTATTTATTTTTATGTAAATAAATTTGTAAGAAAATGGGAAAAGAATAAATTTAGTTCCCAATATTGTTGATCCTAGTTGCGCTTATGAATTCATGATAGTTTAAAATTGTGAAATTTTTAAATTAACGACTAATGAAACTAATAAAACATGCATAACTATAAATTCAATTATAATATAACGAGTAAGTATGTAATATTATGCTATTTGTGTGTTTATATTACACTCTTATCTTATCGTTTGCCCTTTGCTCATAATTTAATATTTAGTTGAACTTGTTTCATTTTCTTAAATAAGTATTATTATAAAAGTATCTTATGCTAGTATAATGTATATTAATTAACTTGGTATAATTTTTTAAACAACTTTTATATAAATTTTTGATCCTATTTAAAGTATTTAAAATAAAAATGTTAACTCGTTTACAAATTTTGCAACGAATTTGTTCGTTACACTTTTGTCGGCAATTTTCTAATATTCCAACTGGACCAGTTTTAAAATCTAACATAGATGTAAATTCCATTGAATATCAGGTTAGATATGAATAAATTAACTTAATTGAATAAAATTATTTTTTTGTTATTATAATGTAATGTCGTAATTTTTAAATAAATCATACAGGAAAACAAAACAGCAATGGAAGTTTTAGTTGAAAATTTGAAAAAAACCGTTAACACCGCAGTTTATGGAGGTGATATCAAAGATAAATTAAGGCATACGTCTAAAGGAAAAGTGCTGGTCCGTGATCGAATAAATTATCTTTTAGATTCTGGTTCGCCATTCTTAGAATTGTCTCAATTAGCTGGATACAACTTATATGAAGAAAATCTGCCTTGTGGTGGTTTAATAACTGGAATCGGACGAATATCTAAGTAAAATCAAAAAGTCTCACCAATATTTATGATAATTAATATCAGTTAACTTTTTTAGTAAAGAATGTATGATTATTGCTAATGACGCAACTATCAAAGGTGGTACATATTTCCCTATAACGGTCAAAAAACATATAAGAGCTCAAGAAATTGCAAGTGAGAACAACTTACCATGTGTATATTTAGTAGATTCCGGGGGAGGTTATTTAAAAAAACAGTCTGAAATTTTTCCTGATAAAGAGCATTTTGGAAGAATATTTTACAATGAAGCTGTTATGTCGTCAAAAAACATTACTCAGGTTAAAAATATATTTAATACCTAATGTAAACGTACAGTTAAGAAAATTAATTAATTAATTAATTAATTTATTAATTTTATGTAAAACATACTGTATAGATTGCTGTTGTTATGGGTAGTTGTACAGCGGGTGCAGCTTATTTACCAGCTATGGCTGATGAGAGTGTGATAGTAAAAAAGACTGGAACAATTTTTTTAGCCGGTCCCCCACTGGTAAAAGCAGCGACAGGAGAAGTAGTTTCCGCAGAAGAACTTGGTGGCGCTGATCTTCACTGCACGTAAAAATATAGAACTGAGTTATCTAAATCGCCTATAGTTTTCAGTTAACTACATTTTTTATTTAATTTATAAAGAGTTTCTGGAGTTTCTGATCATTACGCTAACGATGATTACCATGCCTTACACATAACTAAAAATATCATTGCTAATTTAAATAATAATAACAAATCAATCACTAACTCAATAGACAATTTGGCTGTACCAGAACCTCCAATTTATCCAGATGCAGAACTTTACGGTATTGTTGGTAGTAATTTAAAACGAAATTATGATGTTAGAGAGGTAAAATTTTATTAACTAATATACCGTATTAATTTAATAATATAATATAAGTATTATTTATTCATTAAATTTTCTTTTTTTTTCTTTTACTATAATATAGAATTTTTTTAGGTTATTGCAAGGTTAGTTGATGGTTCTGTATTTTCAGAATTCAAAAAGATGTATGGTGAAACACTAGTTACTGGATTTGCCAAAATATGTGGTTATCCAATTGGAATTATCGGTAACAATGGGGTATTGTTTTCCGAATCTGCTCTTAAAGTACGAAATTATTTTTATATAAAGTTAAAAATTAATATTTGTAGTTTTACATGGCGTAATTAATTTTTTAAGTTTCCTTTTAAAAGTTGAACTCTTAGATTTCATAAATTTCTATTTGTCAGGACCGTACTAGAATATTTTTTGGGGAGGGGTTCAAAATATATATATATATTGAGGATTAGCCTTTAGATATGTATATAGAGGGTATATTTATCTATATATTTGTAACTTAATGAGGAGAGGTAAAATTATATTATTGCGCTTCGATAAAATAACTGATGGAGTAGTTGACTTCTCTTTCACCCCAAGAGGATAGATAACTAGTGAAATTACATTGGAGGTTGAGTTGGTAATAGTGGAAGATATTATAAAAAGATAAATTGAAATAATAATTTCGTTAGATATTAATGCAGATCTTTTAGGTCCTAAGTTTTGAACAATTTTTAACATATTTTAAAAGCAGGCTCAGATTAAGGGGGAGACATAGCCTCTGAGTACACGAAATATAGAGGCCTACACAGTTCCGTGCTAACTGTCATGGGCATATATTTGGCACCACTTTTTAACTTAGGTAGAAATGTAACATACATTCCATGAAATATTTACATACAATAAACCATATTTCAAAGTCACTCTCTACGTTTACAAAAACTCCAAAATCTTAACAATATCTATAATATAAAATATTGAAATACAGTCATTAATTTTTGTATAACTAACAAGCATTATTGCTTTTTTCTATAATTATTTTTGCCCATTGTAAAAAAAAATTTTAAAAATAAAATACATCAAAAGACAAATTCTGAACACGCTACGTATTACACAGTATACATGACTTGTCATCGATGACTATATCAACTAGTGATGGGCATAATCGAGATATCTCGATTATGAAAATAATCGAGATATTTCGATTATTGAAATCATATCTATTATATAATCGAGATATTCTGATTTTTTAAATAATATTGATTATTCTATAATCGAGTGATTATTTCTAATGATTTCTCGTTTATTATAAAAACAATGATTTCTTGATCTTAAAATGTATATAATCGAATAAAAGTTATTTCGAATGATGTCCATGAAACGATGAAACGAGAGAATACTATTTTTAAGTTTTTATTTAGCATAAATTATAGTCGAATTATTATTTAATTATTGACTTCGAGTCTTCTTATTTTCAACTCGTTCAATCGCTACTCATGACAACACCTTATCTGTCACATTTTTGGGAAGTATGTGACGATTAGAACAAAGTTTTGTCCTGAACTGGCTAAACTACTGAGTTCTGATTCTCCTACTAGTTGTGAATTTATGAAAAATCAATTAGGTGTGGAATCAGGTATTTTAATTATGATGGTCAAGCCGGCTATTGTTACCTTATCTTATGTTTTTATTTTTAAATTTGTTATCGGTTTTTTTAAAATATAGGTAATAATTATTAAATAATAAAAATAACAACTTGTCTTTTATTTAAAACACTTATTAATAATGCATTATTAATATATTATTCCTAAATTATAGTTTAATATAATAATTATAAATAAACACCAACAAATAAAAAAAGCAAAATTAAATTAATAATTATTTACTATAGGTATATTTATTCATATTTCAAATAATTTTTCGATTCTCTCGATAAATAATAATAGTTGATTATTCTTATCATACGAGCAGACGATTATAACTTCGAGTGATTTTTCGAGAGATTCACTCGATTATGAAAATGTCTCGATTACTAATCATTCGATTATCGAAATCATTCGATTATGCCCATCACTAATATCAACATCATACAATTATTGTATGGAATAGCTGAAATACGGATATCATCGAAGTAAAAAAAATATTGGTTTCCTAATTTATATTTAGCCTCGTTTTTATACAATGTCCGTCGCTAACGACGCTACCTGGCCACGCCCGCCCATATTTGACACTGACTACAGATATTACTTGTAATATTTTATCGACTATCTTATAAAATCAATAACAGTTATATTAACGACAGGATCTATTTAAAGTGTAGGTAAAAGCTATATTATATATACAAAAAAATGACGTCGACTGATATAAAAAATATATTATTCAACAAAATACATCTTATAAAAAAAACCTCTATTCATATATTTTTGGCGCCTTAAGACACTTACCAACTCTAAACCGTCTTTAGCGTGGTCATAGGCTTATATACAAAAAAAACTTAATTTTGTATTTCGCCTAATCGCTAAAATAAATTAATTTCTTTATTACCTAGTTTTTATTTGTGTTGTAATTTAAAAAAACAAGATTTTATAAAAAAAATTTTCTTAAGCCTTTTAAAAAATCTAGCCCTGGGGCCCTAAATAGGTATAATCCGAATCTGTTTAAAAGGCAATTCATTTATAAAGTTAACAATTTTTAGTGTCACCAATAGTGATATAAAATTTATCTGTGTACCAATAGTATTTACCTATGTTTTTAAAAATTTTGTTTTGGACAAAACTGAAAAATTATATAGTTTCTTTACACTTATATAAAATTAAAATAAATTGTTTTATAAATTATAATTTGTAAAATCATTATGCTCTATGTATAGAGCGTAAATATATTTCTTAAATTTTAGGGCACTCATTTCATTGAACTTTGCTGTCAACGGAAAATTCCATTGTTATTTTTACAAAACATAACTGGTATTTAAACACATTAATGTATTTCATATAATTATCATATTAGTTGTTATTAATATTATTAATTAATACTTGAAATATGTTTCTTTTCTTAACAGGGTTCATGGTAGGTAAAGATGCTGAAGCTGGTGGCATTGCGAAAAATGGTGCTAAAATGGTGACCGCTGTTTCGTGTGCATCAGTACCCAAAATTACTGTAATCATCGGTGGATCTTATGGCGCTGGAAATTATGGAATGTGTGGGCGAGCTTATGGGTATTATATTTATAGAGACCAGATTATATTTAACATTAAGTTCAGAGAATTAGAGATAATTTTTAGTAAATTTTGCCCACTAAATAACTTCAATGAGTAAAATGTCTACAATATTTTTTACTCGTTGAAGTTATTTAAATATCCTATACCTTCCCCGTGGAATGGGATAAGAAGAATTCCACAGTCTTCTGCCAGACATATGAGGTGACTAATGAAGTTGCGTCAGGTCGACAGCCGATATAAAATTTTGCCAAATAGTACGAGGCGTCCTGAACAGAACTTAGGCGAATTAACATATATCGGATGTACGCGGCGATAACAGGTGAGAGGATATAAAGTAGTTCTAGACGAAAATGTCTTAAAGAATAAAGTGTTTGATACCAGCAGGACAACTTGTGCTGTAGCTGTTTAAAAGTTTGTAGTTCTATTTCAAGATAAATGGTCAAGGTATTCTTTAGTTATGTGTTGGAATTTACGAATAAAATATTAAAAAAATACATTAATCATATCTCTTAAAACTATTTTGATTTTATGAAACTATATATCAGTAACGTAGTTAAGGGTGAACTGAGGTGGCTGTAGTCTCTCTCTTCCTTCCCTCCACTGAAATTTTAGGAAAATGTTTAAACTATTACTATAAAAATAGTTAATAAAATCCTATTTTGTGTTTAACTGATTTTATAAGTTGATGTTATCGTTCACAGTACAAACTTTTAATATTTGAATATTGCGCATTGACGCAAAGGAACTAAATAGGTAGCATTAAGTATTTCTTTGTTATTATATACTGATAAATATTGTTTCGAAATTTTGACAATATGACATAGTAGTGATTTTTATTAATATCATTTATAATGCCAGCAACAAAAATTAAACTCAAAACATTTTATGTTTCTTTGCAAAAAATAGTGAATACCTAATAAACCATGATACTATTTTTTAATAAAATAGATAATTAAAGTTTTAAATTTATTTTGTGTATTATTTTTGATGAGCAAATTAAAATAATATTGAAAATGAATATTTAATCATGTAATAATTTAGTAAGAACTTTAAATCGGCATGATAAACTTATGAGAGACCCCCACCTATTTGTAATAAAAGTTTTAGTCCTTGCCTCGGAAAAATATTCTGGCTATATCATTCATTTTCAAAATAACTTTTGATTCAGGCCAAGATTTTTATATATGTGGCCAAACTCACGAATAAGTATAATGGGAGGTGAACAGGCAGCTGGTGTATTATCCCAAATTCAGAGGGACAAAAAAGGACGAGAAAGTAAACAGGTAATTTATTTTAAGATGACCATAATTTATTTCAAGTTATTATTTTAGCTTTGATACGACGTTGAGAAGGTATTAATTTTACTATAATGTGTTTTTTTATTTTTATTTTGTTGTGTCTGTTATCGCATTTCTCAGCTCTCACCCAACGGATTTCTTTCAATGATACGTCAAAAGATCACAAATCGTATCTAGTCAAAGACATTACCCTCAAAAATTAAAAAAATTTCCTTCATTCCCCGTAAATGGGGGATACCTCCAAAAAAATTACAAATTTAAAAATCGCTAATTTTCAAAATTTTATCAATTTTTTTTACTTAAAACTGCCATAACTTTTTCAAAAATGAACAAATCAATATAATTTTTTTTTTATAGATGCTTGATTTCTTTACCTACCATTTGGTTTATTTTTTATTTAACCCTTAACCTGCCCATAATAGGGGCATTTAAAATTACAACTTTTTCAACTTAACTTTTGAAAGTGTTCCGGAAAGTCTGACACTTTTATATATATCATAAATTAAAGCTAATGTAATATACTTTATCATGAAAAAAAAAAATTTCGGACTTTATTTTGTCTTCATTTTGAAAATGACTACCAAATGCAATTTTTGTGTGAAAATTCTCGATTTTATATTTTACATTTTTTACCTTAAAATGCTATAACTTGTTGAAAAATGTATGGATCAGTATAATTTTTTTGTGATAACTACTATTAATATACTTCTTTTATGCGACATATTTTTTTTTAAATCGGACTATTTCCCTTAATGCAGGGGGGGTTCAAAACTTAATAAAAAAAATACGATTTTTGTAAAAAAATTCATTTTTATATTTTAATTTTATAAAGCTATAACTTTTTTAAAAATGTATTGATCATAATTTTTTTTTTACGATAAATACTATTTATATTTATATATTATTAATATATATATATATAATATTCCTTTTCCAAAATAAGAATTACTATCTAAAAAATATTCTTCTATTTAAAAAAAATTACTCTCACTTTAAATAGTGAATTGCCCTTTTTTCCAAGAATATTTATTTAGTAATGGTATTATTACGCAAAATGAAAACTTTAAGTTTATACATTTTATTTAATGTACAATACAATACAATATACAAAAATTGTGCAATATAGAGAGTAGTATAAATTTGAATCATTTTTTTAATAGTCATTTAAAAATTTTAATGGGGTTCTTATCAACAAAGAAATATTTTATATTTTCCATAGGTGGAAAGAGCACTTTTCTATCTTTTAGATAAATGGTATAAAAGAGTAACTAGTTTAACTTAAGAACATTGTAACAAAAAACAAGGATATAATACTTTGTACATAAATTGTTACATGATGATAAAATGTATACTTTTGGTCAGGACTGGCCATAGGTTAAAAGAAAATTGTCCCTTATAGGGGTGTCAACTTTATTTTTTTAAATGGCAACTTATGTATTAAACTAGTTTATATATTAAAAAAATTATCTAATTAAGGAAATGACTGTTAAATAAAAAGTTTTAGACTAGTGTTTCAGATGATATTTACATTTATATTGGAGTGTAACCGAGAAATGAAGTAGTAGCATTCGTGCTTCACCTACAGTCTATATTTTTAAGAGATAATGATTTTCTAATTACTTGTCTAAAAGTTGCTATCGAACAGTCATTTTTTTAATTAAATCTGTTTTATAAGCTAGTTTAATACATAGTATTGTTTCTAAAAGTGCATCAACTAATTTAATTTAAAATTTATGTAATTGTGAATTTTTTATTGAATTTGAGAATTTAAATAATTTATTTAATTTTGGAGAATTATTTATTAATTTTTTTAATTCATATTACTATTACTAACAAATTATCACAAGTTAAAATATATTAGTAATTATTGTTATTAAAAAATAATATATTAATTAAAAATAAAAATTTTATTATTAAAAATGCTTACAATCCGAACACCGGTAAAAACCCAAATAATAGGTAAATGCTTAGTCCTAATAAAAAGATGCCGTGTACCTAGCCCATTTGTAATATTTATGTATATTTTTAACACGCTTATATTAGTTTTACATGTATGTTGTTTGTTGTGAGTTGTGTTTGTAATTTTCCACGCGTACGTGTCTACGGCCTTGAGACTAGACGATCGTAACGCATTCACCCCACCCCACGCCACGCTCACCACTATTCCTGTATAATTTCTTTATGATGATATTAGCAAGTATATAGCCTTTATTATTAATAGTAGTAAGACACAGTTGTGAATTTATAAATATTCTAACTGCCAATACAGAAATTATATCTATTGATAGTCATAATTGACAATAAACAATCCGTGGCTGTGATAGCGATGTCATAGAAAACTAATAAGTAAAAAATAAATATAGTTTAAAAAACTAATAAAACACTCTTTTAAAGTATATCGAACTAAAAAGTTAAATATTATTTTTAACTTTTTTAGTTCGATGTACTTTAAAAGCGTGTTTTTTAACTATATTTATTACAATGAAATAATACTATTTCACAACATAATTTTATTTCTATAATTGATACCAAAAATTGTGTTAAATTTGAAATATTTATATTCATATAAAATTTATTTTACATAGAAACTACTTTTGCTTTATCCTTCACATTTATGACCTTTTATTTAATCTTTTAAATAATATATTTTAGCTAACGGTTGATGAAGAAAATATCATAAAAAATCCTGTAATTAAACAGTTTGAAGAAGAAGGAAATCCATACTATTCCAGTGCTAGGTAATAATTTTGCTAAAATAGCAAAATGAGGTGCAATAAGGAAAAGGGTTTTCATTGCTTTCATATTTTGTAAAAATAAACCGGTTTCCTTATTTTTTTAACATCCTATTAGTAGTTTGAATACATTAATCTTTATATTCTGATTAATTTGTAGATGTTGGGATGATGGAATTATTGACCCTGCTCAAACTAGACACATTTTAGCCCTAAGTTTATCAGCTATTAATAACAACTCAATTCTTGAAACAAAATACGGAATTTTTAGAATGTAAATTTTTATAAAAAGTAAACTGCCATTAGTAGAAAAATACACAATTTAATTGATGTAATATGATATTAAGAGCAAACATTAATTTTTTAAGATAATTTTTACATTTGATTTTTTTTTAATTTGTTTTATATTCTAAGTAAAAAGAATTAGTAAACATTATTTATATTATAAAAGTCGATAAAATTAAATAATTATTTTTTTAAAGATTAATCATATAATATTAAAAAATATTATTGAGAACACATTTAATATTAAGAAAAATTATTCATATGTGCAAAGATAATCTTCATAATTTAATTTTAATAATAAAGATTTCCAATATGCAAGTTGTATGTTCTTATTAAATTAAGTATAAATTACAATACTGGAAAAAGATGATTTTGTGTCAAAAGTTTATCTAACATTTTATTTAATTTATAACTATTTTTATCAACAGTGAGAATTATTAAAATACTAGTAGTTTTTGTCATTACTATTAAAATATATCACTGAAATAAAATAATAAAAAATCTAACTTTATTGTAAAGAAATAATAGCATAAAATAATTAATAGTGATTATAGATAATTTATCTTCATCTCAATTTGAACCACAAACATTAAACTAAAATATTTTTAATAATATAACAAGAGTTAATAATAAAACATTATTTAAAACAATAATTTAGTATGTCCTCACAAAAATTTATGTATTAAAAAAAACAACTACTATAAAAATACTTTGATTCTTTTTTTTCATCATAAAATATTTTTGATCTATGTACTGCATACCAGAACAACATTTAAAAAAATATTAAGTCATAATATAAACATTTTTAAAATTTTTATTTAATATGACTTTTTAACCTTATTAACTAATATTTTATGCATGTGTATTTTTATATGTCCTCTTAGTATTGTCTTGTTTGCAAAGAATTTATTGCAAATGTCACATTCAAAAGGTTTTTCACCTGTATGGCAGCGTTTATGTTGTTTAATGTAGGATTGGTGAGAAAACATCTTGTGACAAATATCACATTCATATGGTTTTTCACCACTATGGGTTCTCATATGAACCTTTAAGTTAAACCGTACACCAAATGACTTCAAACAAATACTACACTGATAAGGCTTTTCACCAGAGTGTATTCTTTTGTGTTTATTTAAACCAGATGATTGATTAAATGTCTTCTGGCATACATTACAAGCATAAGGTCTTTCTCCATTATGAATTCGTTGGTGTGTTTTGAGATTATAGGCTGCAAAAAATGTTTTATCACACACATCACATTTAAAAGGATTTAAATGTAACATTCTATGTCGTTTCAATGAAAATGTATCAGCAAATTTTTTTTTGCAGCATTCACAGGTGAATTCACAAGTTTCTGGATGTTTTCTTCTATTATGTTGACTTAAAATTGATTTTTTTTGAAATTCTACTTGACATATATCACATTTGAATGGTGGTAAGTCTGGTGTACCTCCTCCTCTACATGATCGGTGATTTTGTTTTATATGTTTTTTTAAACGTGCATTTGATGTATAAAAAGTATGACAAAAATTGCATTTATATGTTGATGATGCATTAGTATAATATGCTAAAAATTTGTATTCTCCAAGTAAATTTTTGTTATGACAGCCACTTTTAGATTCGTCAGTATCTTTAACAGTTAAATTTTCTGTTTTATCAAAAATATTTGTCTCATAATCTTGCAAGTCAATTGTAAGATTTTCATTACTAGAAAATAAATTAAAAGTTTTTAAATAGTTTATAAATAAAAGTAAATGATTTAACTTATATCAAATATGTTTTATGGTTTTCTTTTTTTAATATCACTTACTCGTCATCTATTACGGCTTTTATACAAAATGGATCAAGTTCTAATTTGATTTCTTCTGGTTCAGTACTGCCATAATCTTGGTTTTCTATATTTCTAGAATAATAAAATTATAAAGTATACATAATAGAAAACTAATGAACCATGTTAAAATCAGGAATTGCAAATGTTATTTTTTGAAAAACTACATTTTATTCATTATTTTTAACAATTTTGATTATTAAAGAATTGTTTTGAAATACAAATTAGGGTAGCCCTGGCAATGTAATGACAATTTTTTTTTTTTATTTGACTCACCCCCTTATAAAAATTATTCGAACATAATTATCTATAAAAAATGACTTTACAAATTTTATTAAAAAATGAAGAATTTTACTGTAAAAATTAAAATAATTATGATTTCATCAAAAAATTACTGCTTTTTGGAAATATACTTATATTTAATGAATTTTTCATCATGTGACTAAATGTTTCATACAAAAATTATTTATAATTCATTTACAACAATTTTTTAAACTTTAACCCTATATTTGATATGTTGAATTTAATAAATAAGGATTTTTACTAATAAAAAATCGCATTATTTATCATAATTTAATTAACACAATGTTGTATTAAACATGGATTTCTATTATTAGATTGTTTGTTTTTAAATGACAATAATGTTATTGGAGAAGTAATGATCATTAATAACGACCTATAAATACAAGCAATCTATTTCTATACAGTTATATAATAAAATCATCTGATAGTATTTTAATGAAATATAATTTTATTCAGTAGAATTAAAAAGAAACTAATAAATTTAATAAAAAGTTAGATTTGTTCTATATATTCCACTAAAAATCATTGAATTAACCTATATTGAGGAGTATATGAAATTTTTACTTATGCAAAAAGAAATATGTAAACCACGATGTATATTGGTTACAGAATGCAAATTATTTCTACGAAAAAAAAAATTCAAATAATTATAAAGCATTTTTTTAATTAGACCAATAATTATTTAAATTAAAATGTTTTTGATCTGAAAAGATAGTGTTGTTAAGCATTATTTTCAATTGAGATAAAACGTTAAAAAACGTCTTCCACTACTAAATGTTTACTTGATGTGGTTTATAGTATGAATTATATAAAAGAAAAATAAGTACTCGTAACACCAATTAAAACCATCTAAAATACAGAGAAGAGATATTTCACATTTGTCAACTAATTATATGTTAGCCAATTTAGACAAATGTAAGCTAATTGAAGTAAAACTAAATTTGAGTACATCAGTAATTGACATATTATATTTATTCACTTAAATTGTATTTGTTTAGAAAACAATTAAAACTGAAGTCATAAAATCTCTTAAATGTTTAAGAGATATTTGTATATTTTTAGTTAGAATATACTTAGAAGCACTGTTTAAAGATATATTTTATATTGATACTATTAAATTACCTTATAATGGTCTAAATTTAATAAAATTACTGATTGATTACATAGATTTTATATTCCAAAAACTACCAAATGTAAATTTTGTGGTCATTTATGGAATCATTTATCTGAAAATATTGCATAGTTTTCTTTTGATGACCGAATTCCATCATATGTAAAAATAAAAATGTCCGAAACAACTAAGGAAACACAAATGATTTAACTCAAAATCTTTTAATAAATTGTATCCCCAAAAGAAATATAGTTATAAAAACAAAGATATTTATGATTTGTATCTTAGGAATCAATTAACTTATTTTCCAGATTTTTAATAAAATATGACTCTTTAAAACTTTATTCATTTAATTTCATCCAAATATTACTAAGTAAAATAATGACTTTGACGGCAAAAATATTTTAATACACTTGTTAGTTATTGCAGAAAGAGGAGTAAAATTTATTTAAGACTATAATAATATATTGACAAAGTATAAAAGTTTTTTTACAAGTTGTTAGTGATTAAAGCGTACTATTTAAGTGTGAAAAAAGCACATTAATGAATAAATAAATATTATTAATTTAGTAAACAGTATTTTATAAGAATTGTTAGATATTACATTTTTTTTAATTATTAAGGCATAAAATAATATATTAAAAATATTATTAAACCTTATTTAATAATATTTTTTGTATTATTTGTATTTTGTGTTTACATTAAACTGTTTTATTTAAGAGTACTTATTAATTAAATATTTTCATTAAAATTCCTTAAATTATATTATTAAGTTTAACATATAAAAAGGATTAGAGGTACACATTTTTTTTACTAAATGTAATTTTTTGGATATTAACCTGTAATTATAAATAACTTTTGTAAACATTTAGTTTTATGATGAACAATTGATAAACTGTAGGCATATTTTTAAAAATCAATAATTTATGGGTGAAAACAAAATAATATTAATTTTTAGTCAAATACTTAGTTTTTAATAAAATTTGTAAGAACATTTTTTTATATATAATTATTAGATCTTTAGTTAAGGTTACTTTCATTTTTAAGGTAGGAGTCAATTTATTGAGTAACCTATAAAAAACTAAAAAATCATCTTTTGAATTCAATTTTAAAATTCTTGTGATCAAATTTTATAAAATGTTTTTTTTAAGATAGAATAATATAAGAAGGTGAAAATGTATCTTAAAAGTGATTTTCAAAATTAATTAAGGGCTACTCTACTCTAATATAAATAGCTGTGATTAAATCATCCATAATTAAAATCTCATATATATTTTATTCTTATTTTCTTTATCTTTTATAAGTAATATTCTTGATTAAATCCTGGATGCAAATAACAAACTATGTAACAATTAAAAAGTTTAATAGGATCAAAATAATAGAATAAAAGTGTCTTAATTAATTGAATGAATAATGGATACTGTGTTAACATATTTACTATGAGTGATAACGATTTTCCTAACTTCAAAATATATTGAATTTTTCTAGTATAAAATTATTATGTAAAAAAAAAAAAAGAAAAATGAGATCCAAAAAATTGTTACATGCCACATTATTTATTCTCATGTTTGAATTAATGATTTAGTAATAAAAAGAGTTTAATTTAGTACATAAAAGAGTTTAATGTACCATGTTTTACACAATGATGAAAAATCATTATATCTTTAATTTTATAATAACTTTTCCAAAATTAGGTATTTAATTTAGACCTACCAATAATATATAAATTATACAATAATTAATTAAAGGTTAAATAAAGTAATAACATTCAAATTTATTACACAATATAATAGTAATTGATACATACTGATCATCTGCTAAATTGAAATATTGTGGATTTAACATTTCTAAAGTTAAATTAATATTATCTTGGTCATGATTTTGAGAGGTAACTGAGCATGGATCACTTAATGTACTACAAAAAAAAAATTGAAAAAATGTATTTTTTTTTATAAATATTCATAGTGTTTATTTCATATGAATATATATAAATAATTTGAATTGATATGAAACTTCACCCTATATAAGATACTGAGAGCAGAAGAATTCAAAGTGACAATTTGCAAAAAGATTGAGATAAATACAAATCTAAAAATTAAAATTTATCACTAATTCCCTATGTAAAATAGATTGAGATAATATCGTTTTTCTGTAAAAATTTAATAATAAACCTATATTCATTTCATATTTTTTGCTTTAGAGACCTCATATATAATATTGCATATCATAATACCAGTTTTCTAGTATAATTCTATCATATTCACTTATTCCTTTATTAAGTATTTTTTTTTCTTAATATACTTCTTCAATTAAAGAAACAAAACCTGAGATTTATTTCACACATTTATTTTATCAATCAAAAAGGGTCAAATATTCCTTAAAATTAAATTAAAGTAATTATACAATTTCAACTTTTTTACCTATTTTTTAAATTATTCAAAATTACTTTTGAACATTCTTCATCCTTTAGAAATGAATCATCACTGAATGAAGACATACTTAGACAAATAATGACAGAAAGTATTATTCCAAATAATTCTAGTTTAAAAGAAGTTTAATTGCTCATATTACATGATATTTTATTATGAAACTCAATAATTATTAACTATCAAGACATACTTGGCATGTATTTAATAGTGAACTAATGAACATTTTTTGATAAAAAGTTTTAATTGAAAAACAAAGCATTTAAAAACAATTTGAGAACAAACGAAAAATTAAATATTCTAAAATAGCAACTCGGCACATTACAAAATTTAACTTTTAGTTTAATAACACACGATTATTGATAACAATATTTATCATTGATGAATATAAAGTTAAATACACTTTAGTAATGTGCATAATCGAGACATTCTCATAATTGAAATAATCATTTATAATCCAAATTAAAATGTCATCAATTTTTCCAATAACAATAAATGAAATAGATAATTTGTTTTTTAATCATCTGAGGCATGACATATTAATAGTATTTTTATGCCTGAGTTTTATGATCTGAGATAATCGATATCATCATGATGGAATGACAATAATCGGTAGTATTTACTAACTTCTTACATTTTACATAATAATTTTTGTAATTATTTAATTTTCTTAAAATTCACTTTAGTTGAGTATTTTTAATAAAATATCGGAGTGGAGAAATTAAAAATTTCGATTTAAGAGAAAATAACAATTTTTGGTTGCGTCACTGATATGGAGGTAATCGGAAATGTTTTTTGTTTAACTATTAGTTTCGAGTGTTTTAATCCCGAATATCCCCTCAAATACATTACTATGTCACTTTGAAAATAATCATAATAATATAATATTATAGTATATTTTATTAGAAATAATGGAGAATTATAATGATCTGTTTTACATCTTTCTATTTTCCGAACTTAATATGCTTCAAAGAATAGTGACCATCTTTCACATGTTATGAAGTCAAGGATGGCTAGACCAATGATGGACGGGACGGCTGGCACTAGATACCAGATACAACCAACGAGAAAAACATAAGAAAAATCTCGTTAATTCCCCGGGACCCCATAAGCCGAAACATAAATTTCTACCCACGAGGCCAGACTGACCCCAGAAATAATAATGAATAAATGTAATAATTAAGTATCACACATTATAAATAGTTTTATTAGAAAACAGTGTAGTTTTTAATGATTAAAAATATGTATAATCAAATGAAATACTTAATCGTTAGATTCGTATAAATTGCTCAATAGATAACAATACATATTTTAACTCATTTTTTATACAATTTATGATAAAAATAATAAGGGAAAAATCGATATTTTCATTATCGAATAATTCGATTATGGTTATCACTAGTACATATAATTGTTCAATTAACACACTCTACTTATCTATGTCTGTATAGTAGAAATAATATAAATTTATTGATATTTTTTAACGAACTTGTACATTGTTTTTAATGTAGTTTCATGTTGGTTTCTCAAATTAGTTACATTTTTTTATGTATTACTAATACTCAATATTAATTTCAATTTAATTAGTTGAGTTTTTATTTTCATTTGCCAACTATCGTTATTAATTTTTAATAAATTACTAAAATGACTTTATATCATTTCGGCAATTGTGTTACATTACTGTATGTACCGTATTATTTAACATATAAGTATTCAAATTTGTAAGTTTTTGCTAAATTTATTGATGGTAGAGTTTTTAATCTATTAAATAGTTAATTTAATTTTTTGATGTTTAGGTCTGAATATGGAGCGTTTTGGAAGTGTATTCAAGGTGGTATAATTTATGCATTTACACAACTATGTAAAATGCTTATTCTAGCAACATTTTTTCCAACTAATGATGCAGCTATTAGTACACTAAGTTTAGCGGTAAAACAATTTTTGGTATACAATTTTCATGAGATGAAATTTTTCTTAAAGATTTCTTTGTATTATGTCCTTTATAGAATTTTATTAAAAGTTCTGTTGACCTAGCTGATATTGTTGGTATATTTTTTATACTGCAAAGCATTCCAGGGAAAGGCCATGCTAAAATTATTACTGCTGGTGTTGGATGGGCTGGTGCCGAAATACTACTAACAAGATTTCTTCTTTTATGGGTAGGTGCAAGAGGTACTGAATTTGACTGGAAGTATATTCAAAAATGTTTAGAATCAAATATAAATTTGGTGAGTTTTGACATTATAATTTACCATAAGCTCATAGATATAATTTAATCTTTGAAATAGAGCCAAACAATAAATTTTATAAGTAACCCAATAGATTGAGGTTGGTAAGTTTTGAGTTACGATTGTCATAACAAAATCTACATTTGGTATATGGTGCAGAATTTTTTTTTTTTTATATTTGAAATTTAAATGCTTTTTCACATCTATAAATTATTAAGGATAAATAATTTTATTATTAATATTATTGAACATTAATAATTTTTTACAGATGCATCATATTATGACGTCCGCATTGGTATGGTTATGGTCAAGGCATGATTTATCTAAAATACCATCAATTATTTCTCCAGTTGTTGCTGTCATAATTCTAATATTTTTTTCTGTTTATCGAACGCCTGCCATTGATTTACTCAATTTGTGGGTAGTAATGGATGCATGGTCCATAATAGTCCTCAAAGCCATTTACACATTAACAATTAGTCTTATTGTCTTAAAATATTATTCAGGTCTTACATTATTAATTGGGGTATATTAAGAAAGGAATTGACTTAGTATTATTATTTATATTTTGTTTAATATGTATTTATTAATAAAAACATATTTATATTTTTTTATTTCAATTATCTTAATTGATACTAAAGTATAATTTTGTTTTTAATCAAAGAAAATAATGTGCATAAATAACAGATAAATTCAAATATTGTTAAATTTTGAAGATTTAAAGATATCTTGAAGTTAAAGTGTAAGGCCTTCCCACAATCCTCTGAAAAGAAAATTGTAATTATATACTAAATTAACAATAATGTTTTGAAAAATAACATGTTAATTAGTTGTTCTAAGTGTTAAATATTGTTAATAATAAATCATTTCAATATTAGACTATCTGTATATTGTGTAAACAAAATATATTGAGATAATTATAGCTATTCCTAGACTAGAACATCTAGTAATTAAGTTACTTTTGAGGGAATAATGAGAAAATTACTATAAAACTGTACATTTTTCATTAATACCAATAAAACATCGTGATAACTGCTAATGTTATTCAATAATTGTCACAGAATAAAAATTTTCATTTATAATTATGAATTTTATGATCTGTATAAATACATTTACAAACAAATTATAATACACAAAGTCTCAACCTCTTGCAATTCATCACATTAATTCAACTTTATTAATGAAAACTAAAATGGTTGCTTTAAGAGTGATCAATAAATACTTCTTAAAATTATCCATTAATTTTCATTTTTAGTATATCATCCATCATCTATCTTAGTTTCTGTCTTAACTATTTGGGTCGGCTCTACCTTACAACTTTTCAACAGAATTTTTATACTAGCTGTAGATCTGAATATACCTGTAACCTCATTATGGCTGAGGGAACGAGTAAAAGAGCAAGGTGTGTGTCACTGTTAAGGTGGTGGTAATGATCGACAGTGCCATACCACACTCAACCTTGTGCAATTATTATTATTATTAAATGTATTATTGTGCAATTATTATCTAAATACATTAAACCATCTTCTTTGTAATACCTATGATTTTAAAGTAGCTTCAAAAGCCTACAAAATTGACCTCTGTTTGAAAATGTTAGATATGAATTATATATATTTAAATATATATAATTTCATTTACCATGAATGATGAGTGATTTGATTCTCTTATTCTGCGTTCTCTTTCCATTCTGTTTTTTATAATAGACTACAAATAAATAAATACATTACTTTAAATTATAAAAGTTATTTTATTTAATATTGACATACCATTTTTAATTTTTCAATATTGAGTTGTTGACATTTATTAAGTGGTTGCCAAATTTTAATTGTCTTATCCAAACCACTGGTTGCTAAAGTAGGCATATGTGGATGAGGTTCTAATACATTTACCTATTCACATTCAATGTACAGATTATATGTTTATATAAATTAAGTAAATTTATTAGTTGTATTATAGATAAACTTTTTTTTTTCAAAGAAAATCATTGTTTCAAAATTTAAGATTTTTATATATTTTTTTATATCTTATATTAAAAATAGTTAGATTAATTTTTAATTGATTTATAAGTATAAAAATTATATTTTTGAAATTCTCATAACATGTTTTATTTGTTGGTTGAACAATTATTACTGTAAGTTAATTATCAAAAAAGTTACAGCAAAAAGGTCAGTTTTTTTAAACTATTTTACTTAACTTCAGAGGTGTGGGGTGGTACTACTTTTTTATATTGTGCTCAAATTTCTAAAAACACTGAAGATAGCCTACCTAGCTCATTTGGTAACATATTATACTTTAATGTGCAATTATCAGGGTATTTATATTCAACTGGACTAAGTAGATTTTTCTCCCTCTCTGACACTGTGATTAGCTTTTAAAAAGAACATTGTACTTAAATAAATAGGAATAATCATAAAAAAATTGGAGCTCTCTAAAATAAAATTAAAAAAGTATTTTTAGGACCACTCTAATACTTATATAATAAAATTATTTAATATTCTAGTTGATTCTTACTACTCCATTAGCATCTGCATGCTTTTTTTGAACTATTGCTTCAGTCTTTTTATCCCATATAAAAAAGTGACCACAGTCTGACCCAGATATAACGTAGTCACTTTTAGGACCATAAAAATTGACTCCTTTAACTAGTAAAATTATATTTTTAAAAGTGATAAATTTATCTCAATGATTATAATTATAAAGAGCTTTAAAATTAAGTTTTATACTTACTAGTCATTCTATTAAGATGACCTCCATATTGATGTAAATATGTATCCGGTGAACCATTAACATCAAATAAATAAATATCATCTTCACTATATGAGGCCAGAATTTCGGTACCACAATAGTTAAAAACAGCTGAAGTAATGTGTGATTCTCTGGGTCGAGGCCTTGAATAGCTCTAAAAAAGTATTTTTAATGGTTTTTATTTGTATATAAATTTACAAAAACAATTAATTATTTTAATTGTGCATTACATTTAAGCAAAAATAAATTTATTTATTTATGATTTTTAAATTTTACTTTAAAAAAGACAACACAAATTTGAAAATTTATATAAAATCTTAAAGACTATTCAAATTGACCTAATTACTCTTAAAATTTACAATGAAGTACATTAAACAAAGTGTGAATTCAAAATGTACCCTAGATGAAGGAAGTATTCGATGAAATTTTTTTACAGGATCATGAGTTGTTTTTCTCTTATCATATAATCTCACATATTTGTCATCACCAATTACAATAAATTCAAAAGGGTTCATAGGATTTGTGTTGATATCATACAGTCGTACAACGGAACCATTATTACGTCGAATATGTTGTATACTGTAAAACAAACAAATTAAATTGATATAATTCATAATACTATTATTAGTTAAAAACATTTTATAATTTTAATTATATCTATTCATGTTGATATATCATATAATATTTATGTCAAAAAATAATATATTAACAGACCAAGAAATACTTATATTTTGAAAAGTACAATAAATTTGAAAGATTGTCCTAAATTTATGAGTAAGTTTTGCTAAAAATTTTATTAAAAATAATAATTATAATTTTATTGTAAAAATTAAAATAATTATTCTGATTATAAAATTTGTACTTCGAATTAATATAACTTAATAGTATCATTATATATTACTTAGTGGAATTAACATTTTCGTTTATCGGAGATTCACGGATATCAATTGATTTTACTACACCATCTTCACCACAACTTAAAACAACATAGGGCAAATCTTTATGTACGCTAAGTTTATTGCAAGAACGATTATGAGATGCTAAAATTTTGTTAAAATGAACATCACTTTTTCCAACGGCAGAAAGTATTACTAAACCATCACGACCACTTGATACTATACGAATATCACTTTGAGACATCAGAAATTTGGTCTATAAAAAGTATCAATGTATAAAAAAAAAGTAAAAATAAAAATAAAAACAATAGTCTTCTTTTAAAAAGCAATAATCAATGAGTTTATTTATTAATTTATTAATACTGAACATTTTTGATCTATTAAAAAGTTATTTGTAGTAGACAATATATCTCTAGTAAGAGACAAATCATATAAATATGTAGACAACATCATAAGTAATTTATAGATTTTTAATTAAATTAATATTTATATTTTTTTGGATGTAGTACAAGTTCAAAACATAACATCAAATAAAAAATATTTTATTGCTCTTTTATAAATTATAATTTTTATAAATTATACTTATCATAAATAACTTTTAAATCTTCTTCTTCTTTTTTCTCACTTTAATCCCAATTACTTAGGGTCGGCATAAATAACCTTTAAATAACTATAAATATTCTATGCTTACACTTATATTTTACCTTTAATTAAATGTGACTTATTATAAAACATGTTAAATATTCAAAACTATTTTAACAGCCTAAAAGAATCTCAAAACCAGTTCTTATACAAAAAAAATAAATTTATTTTAATATAATTCATGTATTTGTATCATAAAACAGTTTCTCTACTCTTCAAACAATTTGCTTTATTTAACATTAAAATTACAATAGTATTTTAGCGGAATACTAATGTATGAAAATAAAATTAAAAAAATTGTTTAAGAAAAAGAATGTAGAATATATAATTGCACAATCACTTAAAGGTACATGCAGTAGGACCTCATTAAGCTAAACTAATTGGAGCTCTAAGTTGTCAAAATTAATGAAAATCCTAGTAGAATAAAATATCCTTTGAAATAAGTTGATATATACAGTGATTCAATTATCATGAAACACTTAATTAATTGAAAAATAAAAATAATAATTTTTTTAATGGTTTATTTTAGTTCAAGGTTTTTCTCAATGTATCAATCATAAATTAATTGTTATGTTCATTCCTTTTAACTTATATGAATGTTAATTTTAATTTTTCAAATGACAACACACATAATTTTCTAGCTTATTCAATAGATAATGATCTAATTAAGAAAATGACTGGAAGTGAAGAGCGAGTACTATTTTTATAAATGGACATTTCCTAGCTGTACTCTTCCTCTTATCTACATATAAATATGTCAATATTTATTAAAGACAGTTAAATATTTATAATTAATTGCAGTAAAATTAATTTCTTTAATTTTCATTCTAATCCATGGCCTATACTATTATTTATAACACTTTAACACCCAAATGTTTTTTCTAATAATATTAATGAGAGAATAGATAAAATTAAATGAGTTCAAATCACCTTTTTTTAAAATTTGTTTAACAATACTTTAGTTAAATAAAAGTATTGAGGTAGGCTTTTATGGAATAAAAATCCCCTCTATAAATTATCTATACCTAATGATTGGAAAGAATATTGTTAATAATTGCACATTGACTTGCTCATGTTCATATTTGGTGATCACTAATCGCTTTTTTAAAATAGAATATGAATTTAAAAGACATTCACAATTTTTTAAGAATTTGAACAATTTTATGGGCGTTAACATAATTAACAATAATACTATGGTTTCTACAAATTCATGATGATTTGGCATAGTGAAATTGTATAAAAAAAGTAACAATATATACCCATTAAATAATAAGGTACTATATGGGCTAAAGGCTTTCTATCATGTATATTCAAATGTTGATTTAATCACTGGATTAAATTAATAAGAAGATTTGCATATAGATCTCTCAAGAACAAAAAATATTTACATGATGGAGGTACAACTTTTTCATTATTTATACGCCCTCTTATAAACACTAATTATGCCACTAACTGACTTTAATTTGTTTTGTAGAGATGTAAGTTTGTCTGAATTGAATCATTTATATTAATGTATAATTATATAGGCTGCTGGTTAACTAATAATGATTAAAAAAATTTAAATAAACGTATTTATTTGATAAAAAAAATGAGTTTGTTTTTCACTCATTAAATGTGAATGAGAACGAGTTCAATTTTTAGTGAAAGTTCTGAACCTACTTCACTGAATATTAATATTATGTATTATTAAGTGGCCATCCATACTAATGGGGTTTTGGTTAATGAAATTCAACAGTATTTTTGAAAGAAACCTACTATTTTTAGTAAATCTATTAAATTAAGCATATTAAAATTGAACCTCAATTTCTGTGTTTCTAATTTAAACATAATTTTTTAACATATATAAATATAAACATATAATAACCTGAAAAACATGTTCGGAGTGGCCACTATTGTATTTTAACAAACATTTTCCTAATGACCAATTCCAAAGACAAACTTTTAAATCATCAGAGCCGCTTGCTATAGTATCACCAGAAGAATTAAAGTCTAGTGCATTTACACAACCTTGGTGACCTTTTAACTGTTTATTCAATTTAAGTTTTTGGATAGCAACTAAGGAGCGATAAAATTTATTATACCAATTAGTAGGTCTTTTATACTTTCCAATTTCTCTAAAAAAATGAATAAAGAATTAATACAAATAGAACGAGATGTTTTAAGATTAAAATTTGTTTCTACCTGTTATACAATTCTTTAGGAGTACACCAATTAGGTTTAGGCACTTCAACATTAATATTAACATGATTTTGTTCTTGCATAAATGTGATGTTTGAAATGTTAACAGATGAATTATCAGAAGCATCATTTGAATCATCAGTTGTGTTATGCAATGAAGCATCACTCTATAAAATATCAATAGCAATAAAAAAGTTAAATCATTCAAAACCAATAAATTATTAGAATTTACATTTCCAGATGAACTGTATGAATGATCATCTAAATTATTATCACTATCCGATTCATCTTCTGGCTCTAATATTGGATTATCATTTGATGATAATCTAAATAAATGGCTGTAAATAGGAAATACATTATTGTTAGCAAAGATACTAGCATGATCAGAATCTGAACTATCTGTATCTGAATCAGTCATAGTGCTACAACATAAGAAATTATTAAAAAATAAAATAATTTCGCAAGTATAACAAACATATTTTTATTTTAAGAATATTATTATTGGTTTCATACCTCAGAATACAGATATTAATTACAAATATATAACTAATAAATAATATAGATTGCAATCTTAAGCTGAATCAATAATTTTAAACTGAAGTTAAACATTTATTCAAAAATTTATTACTTTTAGTGCTAATAAGATGTTTCATTTCCAAATAAATTAAGTTTTAAATGACTACTACATAGCCTCACAACTGCACAACTATATAACGTAAATAATACATTATTAAATAACAATAAAAAAACTAATCGTAATCATACTTCATATCACGTTTTAAGATAATAGTTAAAGATTGATATTTAATAATAAATTTAAACATGAGTACAACATTACAACCACAGCCTATATGAAAATATATGACTTTTGATATAGTCTGTGTTACAATCATGATTTTATCATAATACATTTGTTATAATGAATAATGATTACCATAATTTTGATAAAAGTAAACTACATATATTATAAGTATAATGTAAATATAAAATCAGAGAAAATTCAGACATTTCAGAAAAGGCATAATAAATTTTATAAACGTCTAAATCAATATTTTGCCAATTTCATGATTCAATTTTTTTTTTTAACATGGTAGTTGCTCCCATGCAAAAGCTTGCGCTGTCATTAACTTTAGTTGCGCTTGTGAATTTTTTAAACTATTAAGTAATTTATATTATTATGTTATAAATACAACACTTCACTTGTAGTGAAAAAAATGAAAATTGTTGACATCCTTAGATTCTTCTTCTTCTTCCTCGCCTTAGTCCCAACTACTTGGGGTTGACCACCCTTATCCTAAACTTCCACTCGACACGATCTCCCACATTCTCTACACTCACATCAGCTGTTCTCATATCGCATTCAATTACATCCCTCTTTCTCTTTTTTGGTCTTCCTCTACCTCTTCCTTCAACATTCATTTCTACAACTATTCTTACGGCTTCCAATTCTTCTCTTCTCATGACCAAACCATCTAAATCTATTTTCTCTCATCTTATCCACGATTGATGCTACACCTGTACTCCCTAATGCTCATTTCTTATCCTATCTTCTCTAGTCACTCCATTCATCCATCTAAGCATTCTCATCTCTGCTACACTCATTCTCTGCTCTACTTTCTAATCGACCGCCCAATACTTTGAACCATACATCATGGCTGGCCTTATTATAGTCTTGTAGAATTTACCTGTCAGCCTCATAGGAATTCTTTTATCGCATAACACACCAGACGCTTCTCTCCGCTTCAACCAGTTTCTTACATCCTCGTCAATACCACCGCTCTTTTGCACAACTGATCCTAAATATTTAAAACTTTCCACCTTTCCAATCACGTCTTCGCCTATTATCACTGGTCTCTTTATTTCACCTACCTCGTGTTCTCCTTTATCAAACTCGTACTCTGTCTTACTCCTATTTATTCTTAAACCCTTTTCTTCAAGACCTGATCTCCACAACTCTAGCCTTTGATTAATTTCCTCCCTATTTTCTATTATTAACACTATATCGTCAGCAAACAACATGCACCACGGCACCTCTCCTTGTATTTCTCTAGTAATTTCATCCATCATTATGAAATTAAGTATAAGCTTAAAACAGATCCCTGATGCACTCTTACTCTTAAGCGAAAACCCTCTGTTACTTCTCCTACACTTTTACCCTGGTACAAGTACCATCATACATATTCTCTATTATATTAATGCATTGGCGTACGCAATGGGTGGGGGGTTGAAACCCCCCCAAAATCTATAAGCTAAGCGACAATTTTGGACCATAAACCATAAGTAATAACAATAAAAAAGATCATATCATACTATAAATATTTCCACAATAATGTTATCGAAAACAGGAATTTTTGTAAGCGAACAATAGGGGCAGTGTTACATATAATTTTCTTTAAATTTCAAAAAACCCCCCCAATTTTAATTTCTGTGTAAGTCACTGTATTAATGTACCTTTTTGGGATTCCTTTTCTCATTAATGCCCACTTAAGAACCTCTCTCGGTACTCTATCATACACTTTCTCCAAATCTATAAATATCATACAAAGCTTTTTCTTTTTTTCCCTAAACTTTTCTATTAGTTGCATCACATAAAATAATGGCTCCATTGTTGACTTACCAGGCATAAATCCAAACTGGTTTTTAGATACCGATGTCTCATTTCTTATTCTCTTATCTATTACCTTTTCCCAAATTTTACATCCTTGATGTTGACATCCTTAGATTAAAATAAAATATTAATTTTCTATCTGGTAATAGCTATAATTCTATTTCATTTACATATTTTATACATTTTTATAAGAGGTTTTTGACACAAATTAATGACATACCATATTTTTTATTTTATTCTCATGTCAATTATTTTTTTCATTTAAATTTTTGAAAACGTTCTAGAACGTCTACGTCCATCAATCCTATAAAATATAAATGTTTAAAGCTTATTAAATTCGTTATTCCCAAACAGAAACCTTCTGATTATATAGTAAAATTGTTGTTTTAGAAATGAAGTACTAACTAGAAATAACTAGTGATCGACAAACAATATAATTTCACATATCAATACTTATTGGATTTTGGTAATATCGATATCGTTATTTTAATAACACAATTTTTTGTATCTATAAATATTTGATATAAAATACTTATGTACCACATTATATTAATATTAAGCTATTGGATTATACATGGATGCTGCAGTTACACTATTGACATTTTTTTTATCAGAATATTTCTTCGTTGTGACATTAAATTTTAAATTCGCAAAAAAAATTATTTTGAGCTATAATAATTTTAATATTACGGTTTATAAAACTATTAAATTTCAATGTTGATGTCGTATAGAAATATCGATATTTTTGACGAACACTAGAAATAATCCTCAAATAATTAATAAACCATAATAGCCCCCAGAATATTCTGTTATATACAATTCTACAATCCAACTCCATTAGATCATTACCTGTCTTAAGATTTAAAAGACGATTAAATGATGGTGATTGTAACATCAGCGTTAATAAAAAAATCCATAATAGAATTATAGTAGAAACCTGTAACAATACTGAAAAGCCACGCGCGGAGTTTAGGGGTAACCTGGAGAGTCGAATCACTTAAAGCTTCTTCAAATCTTTAAATTCGGTCTTCCTAAAATCAGGAATATTATATATAATATACTTTAATATTCAAAGCTCAGCAAGTTTTTCTGAATGTAGACGATGTTGCATATATTTTGGAGGTAGATTTAAGGGAGGTGCAAGTGCTTATATAAGAGGTGGTGGTCACTGTTAAACAGTATATTTGTGAATTAATTTAATAATAACTACAATTATAATTGTAACATTTAAATTTAAATAAATTAATAACATTTATTTCGAATTTAAGTGACTTGCATGGTTATTATCCAGTATACCATAACTTTCAAAGGATTTTACTATCGACTAACCATATGCGCAATTTGGGGGGCTTAGTCCCTTTAATTATCTCACAGTCTCCCCCAAAAATTATGAGAATTGTAAATAAGTGTATATGAAAATATTTTTAAAAAGGAAAGAATTTAAGTTAGTTCTCCCAAACATTTTATGCAAATTGTGACAATTTCAATGGATTAAAAAATATATTTCGACAATAAGAATTTTTGGTTACCAAAATCTCAATTTTGAAAGAAAAAGTGATTGCAAAAATTATTTTCCTCGCATCATTCAATTATTTTAAAGCCCATTAACATTGTAAAAATTCTTCAGTTTCTTCTATTATTGCAAATTATAAGTACTCCTTTCCAATTCCTCTATTATCTATTTTATGCTGGTCACAAGGTGACACCTTCTTTTCGATATAATAAATGTTGTACCTTTATTCTATTTTAATAATAACAATATTCTTTATTCTCTATTATATAATTAAATTTCAATTAAATACATTGTTAGACTAACAGTAGTGTGCTCCACAGGTTACCACCAAGACTATAAGTCCAAATTATAATAATTTATAATAGGGCCTGTTCTAAATTTTAATTCTGGGCATGTCTATGTAAGTAATCTTGTTTTTATTTTGGTAATATTTTGTTTACATTCATATAAAAGAAAAAATATTAATTATAGGATTACTTATATAATGTTAAAACATACTAAGATATTTTAAAAATTTACTTAACTTAGCACATTCAAAGTTAACCTCAATGCTTATAAATTAATATTTGTTATATGAAGTGACATTAATAAATCATTGAAATAAATTTATATTTTCTGATATGGAATTTAAAGTAATAGGTAATAAAATAACAATATTAGCATAATATTAAAGTTTATTTAAATTTAACATTTTTTTGGAAAATAAACATTATTCACTTATTCAAATTGAAAGAAAATAATTTATTTACAGTATAAACGAGACAATGTATTGTATTTAATTTATTGTGAAGAATGTCTTGGTCTTGGAACAAATCCTATTCTTTCTTGAACAGCATCCTTATTCTTTACATTGTTAGTTATGTTACCTAAGAGACCTTTTTGTTTTTCTTCTCTGGATTTTTTGATAGCTTCAAATTCATTTTTAACTTCCGAGAACTCACTTAGATCCTCAATTCTTAATTCTAATCTAGTAGGATTTAATCTTATCATTTTGAAGTTGTTTACCTAAATTGTAGTAGAAATTATTAATTGTTTATAGAATAAAAACAATAAAATTGTCCATAATGCTAAAATAATAAAACTTACTGTAAAATAAAATTATAATTATTCAGAGTAACTCTTCAAAAAAAAGGAAAATGTTTGCTTAATATTAAAATTTAAAATAAATAAAAAAATGTTTTGTTTTAATTTATTAAAAACCTGTATGTTGTAATGAATTTCTCTAAATTTTAAAGTTAAGGATTAAATAACATTACCAAATAAAACTTGACCTTATCTGTGTATTACTAAAAGTTTATCAAATGTTATCGTTTTAAAGTCAGCTGTTTGATTGATAAGAGTCGGCTTTTTTATTGAAATTTGTTAACCCATTGTTAATTAATTTAATGATATTGTGATTGCACATGCGCTTAGATGCGACCATATCACGAATGTGTTCGATAGTTCTAATAGTAAACTCTTCTTGATGAAATCTAAATTATCACTGATTCTCCTTTTCGAATCTTCTATTTTCTATCCTAAACTATTTTTTGCTGTTGATCCCTTCCCAGTTCTTTCAATTTTCTAGGTATACGTATATAAGACCTAGAAACAATATTTCAAATTTCACGACCGTGATTCGTGACCTTTAGAGGTCGTTTAAATTTACAAGACTGTCGTTGTTTTAAAATTAGTTCAATATCAGTATTTTCTCTACAGGAATACATTGCTATTTGTTGAATTAATAGTTAGTGGGTCTCAATGAATGTTATAATCTGTTAAATTTTAAATTTCATTTATAATGAATAATTAAATTTCTGAATGTTGAAACATCATACAAAAAAATAATAAAATAAAGTTGTTTCTTCAGTGCACACATTTGGTGATTATAAAGTAAATTGGACTACAACTATATTGGATAATATTAAATTTATTGTAACTTTTTAAAGATTAATTATGGAAGAAGAGCAAAAAAGGTTCATAGAGCGTGGCTCTCACAAAGGGAAAGGGCTAGCGGTTTTTACCAGTGGTGGTGATTCTCAAGGTATAAATTTTAGCATACTATAATTGATATTAGTATTTTTTAAGTTTTAATTTCATCACGCATTTTGTCCACATATATTTTTTATTCTTTAGTGACTATCACCCCTTTTAAAATTTTTAATAATTTATTGAATGTTTAAACTGATTCATTAATATTTTACTGTATTATAGGAATGAATGCTGCAGTTCGTGCTGTTGTTCGTATGGCCATATACTTAGGTTGCAAGGTATTTTTCATTAAAGAAGGTTACCAAGGTATGGTTGATGGTGGAGACAATATAGTGGAAGCCAATTGGTCTTCAGTATCATCAATAATACATAAGGTTATTTCAATTTAGTTTTAGGCTTAATTTAAAAAATATAATTTTAAACAATATATATTTAAGGTAATTGAAAAGTTTTAGTGCAACAATCAAATAAGTCTAACTTTTTCAGAAAATAATTTTTTGTTAACTTTATTGAATAAAGATGAAAAAATTAATAAAAGAATTAAGTACCAAACGTTACAAAAGAGTCAATATTCCTATTATTAAAGGAGATATTTAATTAAGAGAAAATATTTTAACCATTACCTTTATTAAAAAAATGTTGATAAAATGACTTCTGAAAAATAAATAAGATATTGATTTAGCTGGTTGTTAAACAAAACCCTTCAATTTAAGAAAATAAATATGAATAAAATGATATTTATGTGTAGGGTGGTACTGTTATTGGTTCAGCACGTTGTATGGATTTCAAAGAAAGAGATGGCCGCTTGAAGGCGGCTTGTAATTTAGTAAAACGTGGTATAACAAATTTAGTAGTTATTGGAGGTGATGGATCTCTTACTGGAGCCAATCTTTTTCGTCAAGAATGGTCCATTTTATTGGATGAATTATTGAAAAATCAGCAAATAACTAAAACTGAACGAGAAAAATATGCTCATTTGAACATTGTTGGTATGGTAGGTTCTATTGATAATGATTTTTGTGGCACAGATATGACTATTGGTACAGATTCAGCACTTCACCGTATTATGGATGCAATAGATGCTATAGTATCAACTGCTTATTCACATCAAAGAACATTTATTATGGAAGTGATGGGACGTCATTGTGGGTATGTTGTTAATATCATATTTTTAAATTTTTTAAATCTAGTTAAAAGTAATTGTTTAGATCAAATGTACAACTGGCTAATTTGGGGTTATAATAATTATTGCGATGTTATCTTTCAATTGTAGAGATAAATTTAAGTCTTTTAAATGAAATTTGAGAGTTGTTATGATGTTTGTCTTATGACAGGGTTAAATGATTCTATGACCTTAATTGGGTTTAAAATAATTGATTTCTATAACATAAAATTTGTGAATAAATTATTGTTATTTTTATAAAAATACTATTTTTTTTGTTTCATTGAATATTAAGTAATGCATAAATAAAGCTTTATAAGTTTATAGAAAACTTTTTAATGCTTCAAAAAGGGAAAGATATAGATTTCATTCTGAGATTTATTGCTGATAAATCTATAACTTTAAATGTATAAAAAAAATTGAATTAGAAAATGCAGAAAAAACAGACATTTTTACATTCTAATAAAAATATTATAGTTGCTTTCTCTAATAAATTGTTGTTGTAAGACCATGATAATTATTTTTTAGTTATTTTTGCTTTCAATGAGAGTCAATTAATAATATATTTCACAAAGTTAGTTTTATTAACATTTAACTATATTAAAAATGTGTTTCAGTTTTGACAAAATATAACTAACTATATATACAAGGTGATTAATTTAGGAGAAGACATTTTTTTGTAAACTAATGAAAATTTTAAATTTTTGTAAAGGAAAATAATATTTGATTCAAAAAACTCAATAACAATATTTAGTTAAATAAATTTTTTTTATCCCATTAAGTATATAATACCTGAACAATAATTTTTTTTGAGTAAAAACCCCTATTTTTACCTTTATAATAGGATAGCAAAAAAATTTACAAAAAATTTTGTTCTTTTAATTTTTTTTATACAATCAATTATTTGTCTGTTTTAGCATATTAAAATTAAGTGTTTTTTAACTAAATTTCTATTGTTATTTTACTTTATTGTATACAAAAGTCATTGATGACTATTAATAGACGCATACTATTATATTCCATACAAGTTGACTATAATAAATTGTTGAACAACCAGTGCGGATAAAATGATAGATAACTACCATAAAAATGAATTATCGCCCATTGATACAGATTATTGTTACTTCAGGTATTACAAAAACAAAATTAATGATGAATTTCTATTTTGAATACCAATTTTTATACAATTTTGAAAAACGAACGTTTGATTGCATTAATAAAATTAAAAGAACAAAATTGTTTGTACATTTTTTCCTATAATATTATTATATTAAGGTAAAAACAAGGATTTTAATTAAAAATTAAAATTAATGTTAATGTTTTTTATCTTTGAAGGGATGGAAAAAAAATTAACTACATATTATTGTAGTTTTTTTTTAATCAAACAATATTTTTCCTTACAAAAATAAAAATGCTCAATAATTTCCAAGAAAATAAGTGTCTTATCCTTGGTCAATGACCTTATATATAGTATAAGTATATGACCAATTCAATAACTTTTATTAAATAGTCATTTCACTGTAATTTTTTTTAAATAATTTTTTTGCGTTTTTAGCATATTTTTATTAAAGGTAAATAACATAAAATACGTTTTTAACATAGTATGAAACTTAAATTTATAAAAAATAATATATATAATAAAATATTTAATTAATCAAAAGTTATTAAAGATATCAAATCCTGGTGAGACATCTGTATATTGTACATTTCTTATAAATAACAAATATTAATTAATATTAGTATCCTAACACTTAATTTAATTTTTGATAATTAGTTAACTCAATAAATGTTACATGATATAATCAATCTTTAACAATTACATATTAGATTATCTTTTAATAATACATTAAAAAGCCTTAAGACTTTTTATACTTTCTTACAATTAATTTTATGTACAATTTTTATAGTGTGTTTTTTAATTAAATAGTATGTATTTTCATTTATAGATAATAATTTAAAAAAAATTATACTATAAAAATAATTTTTATTCATTTTAAAAATCAACATTACTTGTAATTTAAATATTTATTTGGAATTATTAGAAAAATGTAAATATACATTTTTAAAAGTAGTCAAATTTTATTATAGTAAATAACAAATTACTAAATATATATATAAGATTGAATATTATTATTATAGTTATATGTAAAAATAAAAAATATATTGCAAAATTTTACATTTATACATACTAGTATTTTAAAAGATATAACATGGTTCTGTTTTTACTTCCTAAACACACTTATACAATAATTGTATTTTTTTGTATTTATATTTTTTAATATGTAGGTTAACTTAATATTAATGTTATAAAATGTAACCTGAATATGGGACAATCTGAAAAAGGAGTAGATACCAATTAAACAAATTATAAAACTTTTTCTATAAATTTTTTATTTTTACATATACCTATAACTAATTATTATATTAGTAGTTTTGTCAAACATCCTGAATTTGATTTTCTAATAATATTATTTTATTAGTTTTTTATCTGATATTTTTATACAATATTTTTGTTTTTAATAAAAATGTTAATGTTGTTAAATTTGATACATTTGATCCTGCAATTACTTAAATAGTACTTAATGATAGATGTTATAAATTCAAAACTAATAAATTGTTTAGTTATTTGTTATAAATTGATACAAAATGTTATTAAACTTAAGTATGTTCAAAAAATCATCTTATAAATCAATTGACTGAGTTATGAATAAGATTTTTTTTATTTTGTAGAAATAGTTCTTTTTAATTTTTTCAATTGAACTTTATTGATGATATTCTATTAAAAGTTGTTCAAGTATTTGAAAAAGTCTAATTGTTACTTATAAAGGTATCTTGCACTTGTTACTGCCCTTACTAGTGAAGCTGACTACGTTTTTATACCAGAGATGCCTCCACCATTTGATTGGCCAACCAAACTTTGCACCAAACTAGAACAGGCAAGGAATTACTGAAGAAAATGTTTTTTTTAACCTATTGAGTTTTTTCTAACCTAAAAATTCACCAATATTAACAAAAATGTTGATTTACATAGCAGCATGCTTTCTTCTGCCTTTTGTTTTAATAACCAATGAGTTCTAGCTAATAATTTTTACTGTATTTCTCAACTAGAAAAAAACCTTCTATAATAAGGTCATAGGGTTTATAAATATATCATATTAGTGTTGTGATTATTATATTTTATTGTTGAATGGTATGTCTTAATGGTTATACTTATTTACATAATATATTAAGTTATTTATCAGTTAAGTATGTATAAAATAAATGGGAGGTAGTGTTATTTCTGAAAAAAATGTGCAGGTATTTAGCTCTGGTCACAGCATTGGCATCTGAAGCCGATTTTGTGTTCATTCCAGAATGGCCACCACACCAAGATTGGGCTTCAAAAATGTGTAAAAAATTATTACAGGCAAGAGTGAATTTCTGTTATCTGTTATTTCAATTTATTTGCATGTATCACAAATGTGTTGTTTTGAGTGTATTAGTATAATTTTTTGTTCTCAATATGCATAAATTCTTCAATTTTCTTGCAATAAACATTAATTTTTGTTGATTTTACTTATTTATTGTGTCTTAGTTTCAGTGTTATATTTAAATGTTTGTCATAATCATTCTTATATCAATTAACAAATATATTAAATTATTTTTATTTTATTAAAAGAACAAATGGTTATTGTATCTTTAATATTTTATAAATATTTATCTAAATAATGTAGTGATAGTCAAGTTTAAATTAATAGCCATTAAGAGAAATTTAAAAAAAAATCAAAACCTTAATTGTAAAATAACAAATTTAGAAAAATAAACAGTAATATAAAATTAGTTAAATTATAATTTTATATAGTTAAAACAAATAGGATCACAAGATGTTTTAAATATTTGAATAACTGATAACCTAATAAATTGATTGCATTTTAAAATAGTCATATATCTTTGTACTAATAATCCATAAAATTCTTCAATTTTTACTGTTTGACAGTAATCCACCCAGTAAATTATTAAAATTATTTTTTTTATTTTTTTATTGAAATAAAGGCTCAGATAAAAAACAATGGTTAAAATATTTATACACTCAAATATCTTTTATATTTTAAGGCTAATAGTTTATCCAACATGCAATTTATGTTTATTATTTGAAGTATTACTTTGTTATGATTGTAGTCAGAGAAAGTCAAGAAGGGGTTGGTGTGACAATTTTGAATGAGTTATTGGTTTTACATTTTTAATTAATTTAGTTTTAAGTCAATACCCAAAAATATGTGTAATTGCATTTAATTTTTTATTTTTTGTAAGTAATTATGTATAAGAAGATGCTTTATTTTATTTTCATAAAAAGCCTTATTGTTATTTTTTTTAAAGTAATAATTTTTTGGTATTATTTTTTTATATGTGCACTCATAGGGGAAACTAGAATAAAATATCGGGGGATACTATTTTCATTTTATTCCTTACCTTAAAATGTTTAATTTATTAAAATAAAATTACTATTAATTTTTTTACAAACCCTGAATTATAATGAAAAATAAATTGGTAACTATTATAGTTTTGGCTAAAAATCTATCGTCAGATTATTGTATGTATGATCTAGAATAAGGAAAGTATGTTAGTGACCAAGAACTTAATATCAAACTAATACTTTTTTTGGTTTTAAAAAAATAAATTTTGAAATCAAAGAACTTGAAACAAAGAAATTGAATTTTTGGTTACTAACACCCTTTTATTATTATATGTTACATATACTGTTTGTAACAATGAGAACAATAGAAACCCGTTTCCTGACTTACTGAACACCCTGTATACAGTTCCTAGTTAATAAAAAAAACAGGTTTCTATTGTTCTTATTGTTTGTAACAATTGACCTGTTTCCTTAATTTTTGAACATCCTATATAAAAAACAATAATAATAAATGGTACATGAAAATCATTATTTTTATAACTTATCAATTGTAACCCTCTGTTAATTGATGATGGATAAATAAATAAAAGTGTACTCTGATTTGGTCACAAAGGAATAATATAAACCCCTTGCTATTGGCTCGGATGATAATAAATATTTTGCTCCTTTTTCATTATCAAAATAAATCTGCTTTAATTAGACACTAATATATGAGCTTATTAATTTATTATTTGCCTACTTACTCAGCTTAGTATTTTCTATACATTTATGTTGGTGTAATATCATAATAGATTAAATCTTTTCTTTTTAATATTAGGAACGTACTGCAGGTCAAAGATTAAATATTATTATAGTATCTGAGGGTGCTATTGATCGAGAAGGCAAACCCATCACTGCAGAAATGGTAAAACAAGTCGTTGTTGAAAATTTAAAACAAGATACTCGTATTACAGTCTTAGGTCATGTTCAAAGAGGTGGTGCACCTTCTGCTTTTGATAGAGTTCTGGTAATAATAAGTATAATTTTATTATTTTTAAAAGTTTATCCAATAATTAATCTAATTTATAGGGATGTAGAATGGGTGCTGAAGCTGTAATGGCTTTAATGGAAGCTACTCCTGAAACTGAAGCTTGTGTTGTATCCTTGGATGGAAATCAAGCAGTTCGTTTACCATTAATGGAATGCGTAGAAAAAACCAAGGCAGTTGCTAAAGCTATGGCTGATAAACAATGGGAGTTAGCTGTACAATTAAGAGGAAGGTATAAATAATACTCATTTAAAATAATATTTATTGCAATTTAACGTTTTAACTTTGATACATAGCTGAAAAGCTATTAATTTTACTCTGGTTTTTTTTTGTTACTATACACGATTACTCCACTCCTATTGGACCAATTTCAATGATACGTCAAAAGATTACAAAAAATCCTTTCAATCCCTATAAAGAGAAACAAATTGAAAAATTATAGTTATAAAATGGTCAATGTTAAAATTTTTAATTTTAAATTAAATAGATTTATTTTTTAAAAGTTTGTTTCAAATATGTATCAAAGCACTTAACGTTAGTTTTTTTAATCACTGTCAGATACTCCATAATCTTCTGGTTTGCATTTATCCTAACTACTTAGGAACCTACTTATCTAAAAAAATGCCTCAAATCCACTAAGCTGGATCCTGACTGTACATAACATTTATAATTAATAAAATTCTTATTCACTTAGAAAATACAGTATTAACCCTTAAATACATATAATTGAGTATTGAATTTTTAATCAATTTTATTGAATTTCATATCAGTTTATGATTTTTGACAATTTTCTAAAAGAAATTGTTAACAATATCTCTAGTATTAAATTCATAGAAATTTTACAACACTAATTCTTAGTTATTATGTTTACAATATATTCTATTGTGTTCTATATAAAGATGTGTTAATAAAAAATTATTTCATCAAAATGGGCATATTAATTCCATATTTAGTTCTATACTCTATTGTGTATTAAGTATCATAGAGAACTCCATTGATTAATGCACTAAAAAACTTTTTAATGCCTAGTATTTTTACTTTTTGTACCTTTTTTCATATATAAACACTTACCAATTCCAACTAATAAAAGTTATTATAAGTGGTATAATATACCACTTAAGTAGGCTAGAAACATTGTATGTTTTTAGCCAACTCAGTGTTTAGTATATCCCTGAAGTAATGCCGGCGGTAAAAAAAAAAGTGTTTAGTATATCTTAAATTATCATTCAAATGATCTTTGTGGATTCTCAATAAAAATGGAGACAACCTATATTTACTCATTAGTTTTATGAGAAAAATATTCTAATAATTGTTTGGTTTTTAGGAGTTTTGCTAGAAATTTGGAAACTTATAAAATGTTGACACGATTAAAACCTCCACGATCAGCTTTCGATGAAATGGGACGTGGACTAGTAAGTTAAAATATATCCTCATAATTAAATTATTTTATAACTCAGAATAATTTTAATTTATACAATTTTATTTAAACATTTTTTACATGGCTGATAATTAGAGCTTAAATCGAGTAAGTACATAACTAATCAAAATATGATTGCACTTAAAATAATAAAATAAATGCACTCATGAATTTTTCTATTTTATAATAGCAAGACACCTTATGGGGTCAGGTAAGCGGTTATAAAAATATGGGTGAAGTGAATTTTGTTGCTTTTTTATAATAATCAATGCAATCTAACAATTATTACTGATTCAAGGCAATGTTCTTATTTTTTATGTAAAAAGCGGTTATATTTAATAATTTTTTTTTCACTTTATTTATTATATATGAATTTTTTTTTTTTAAGTATAAGTATATTGAAAAAAAAAAGATAGCATAGTGGGGTCGTTGCACAGTATGGACGTGGAATTATTGGGCAAGTATAGATGTGTTTCATAAGAAACACATTGATGAAAATCTGTAGATAGTGTTCAATTTTAAGAAATTAGTGGATTATTCCAAAAGCAAAATTAACTCCTATTTTTTGTTCAACTTCGACTACCATTTGCACATAGAATATAGGTCTTCGAGACAATTTTTTTTTTTTAACTTATAGTATGTAATATAAGTTTTTATTTAACATACGTATTACCGGAATATTTTCAAAAGTTATTATAGTACGTTCATTTTTCAAAAAGTTATGACAGTTTTAAGAGAAAAAAGTATTAAAAAATTTGAAATTTACTGATTTTTAAAATGTCTTCAACTAGATACAATTTTTGATATTTTGACTACGGTTGAAAGAAATAGGTTTAGTGAGAGGTGTGAAAAAGTGTCGACAGATATATATAAATAAAAAAAAAATATCATAGTAAAATTAATACCTTCTCAGCTTCACATTGAAGCTAAAACAATTTTTTTTATTATGTATTTAATACATACTGAAGTATAGGTCGCGGAGAGTGAGGTCTTTTAAAATGCGTACAATAGATTCAGATCATGGTGTCTAAATTAATTAGACTATTTGTATAAAATATACCTAGTATATAGTATTGTGTAAATAAATCAATTGAAACAGGTTTTGAGTCAATTGCTCTATTACTTTTCGAGCTACAGTTGTACCATTTTTTGAATGTATATTTAGGGAAAATTTTTATTTTACTTTTAGCTTAAAAAATAAATTTTCAAGGTAAATTATTGTCTTATAATTGTTAATCTATTTCCGGATAATTGTCTTAATTATCTTTTAGATGTTTTTGAACAAAATTAATAAAAAAGAAAATTAATTTTTTTGAAAAAAAAAAATAAGAACATTGCCCTAATTAGTTACAAATATTAATTTTTTATTAAGGGTAGATTAATGTTAAAGTACTTGAAGTTAATCATAAAAATAATGTAGTAATTATTAATAAAATTAAAAGTATTATTTTATTGTGTTTTAAATAATTTGATTAAATTGATTTTAATATTTAGCTTTTATGTTCATTTTTTCATTAATTTAATTAAATAAATTTTTTATGCTATTTATTTTTAAATAATATAACTAACTATCAAAGAATAAACTGTACAATTAATTGTATAGGAGTAATTAATAATCATAAATTATTGTTATTGTTATATATTTTTTAAATCATTTTTGTTTTCTAATAAATATTTATTTCTTCTAATTAAGCTTAATAAGATTAATTATTTTTAAAGATCCATTGCAGATTTGAATACATTATTTTTTTTAGTAATAACTTTTGTCATTGCTATTAAAGTGGTTTTAAAATTTTTCATTTTTGTACATATTTTGAAGCAATATTTTTAACAAACTTAAATTATATGAAAGCATTATTCTGTTATTAACTATATAAATGTAGGAAGGATATACCCTTGCAGTGATGCATATTGGAGCTCCAGCTTGTGGTATGAACTCAGCTGTTCGTTCATTTGTACGTAATTGTATTTATAGAGGTGATACTGTTTATGGAATTCATGATGGAGTTGAAGGTTTAGTTGCTGGAAATGTTAGTTCTAACTAAAAAAATCCTTAAACTTTAAAATTTTCAATTGTTCTTTTTTTCTAAGATTCAAGTGATGCAATGGTCAGATGTTACGGGTTGGGTTGGTCAAGGTGGTGCAATGCTAGGAACAAAACGTACATTACCTGAGAAACGAATGTCTGAAATTGCAGCAAGACTTAAAGAATTTAATATTCAAGCTCTTTTAATAATTGGAGGATTTGAGGTTTGTTTCAGAGTTATTCATGCTAACTATTTCTTATGATAATTTTATTAGGCATACCAAGCTGGTGTTCAGTTAGTTCAGAATCGAAAAAAGTTCCCTGAATTTTGTATACCATTGGTCATAATACCATCAACTATTAGTAATAATGTACCTGGAACTGAATTTTCTTTGGGTTGTGACACTGCTTTAAATGAAATTACAGAAGTAAGCATTATAATATTTTACTGCCTAATGCAAATTTAGCAAAAAATTATAAGAGAAATGATAATAGTTGTCAAAAGTGATAACTCTAATAGCATGAGTATTCTTTTAAATACTATTTTCCTATAAATCTGTTTCATAATTTCTATTCCTGCCATGAAAATACTCGCTAGCGCTTAACATATACAGGGTGATATATTAAAATTTTTTTAATATTTAATAATTATTTAATAAGACACTCATTTTCTCAGAAACTATTGAATGTTTTTAATTTTTGTGAAAGAAAAATTTATTGATTCAAAAAAATAATATGTAATTAAATAATTTGTTTTTATCACTTTATGGATAAAAAAACATAAATTTTAATTCTCTTAAAAAGAAACCTCTATTTTTAGTTTGATTATTTGATATAAAAAATTTTTTTCATAAATTTTTGTTTTTATACATTTTTTTTATCCAATTTATCATCTCCATTTTAAATTATTCAATGATTTGGATTTTAAATAGAAATTAATTATTAATTTGGTTTTCATAATACTGGAGGCTAAAATAATCTGTTTCAATTATTATTAGTATTTATTTTTGCTATTATATGTGACAGATATGAAAAAAAAATAATATAAAAAAATTATTTTTTGAAATATTATTATAGTTTTTTGAATCAAACAAATTTTTTCTTTACAAAAATTGAATTTTCTTATCCTTAATTGATCACTTTGTATACATATGTATATGTATATTACCAGAGTGAAAAAAATTAAACTGACAACTATTATAACTTTTGGACTGCATCCATTTTTTTTTTTAATATTTACAGATTTAAACTTATTATAAGTAATTTTTTCTATTTAAAAAAAAAAAACCCAGCACAGGGGGGTCGCGGCACAGTGGTGACGTGGCATAGTTGGATCAAGTATAATGATATCTGACAGTGATTAAAATCACTATCAAAAATAAACGCTTCGATGCAAATCTTTAGATAGTGTTTAATTTTAAAAAAATTGGTGTTTTATTCCAAAAGCTACTTGATCTGCTGGTTCCTTATTAATATCTCGATTAAGATAAAGTATGTCGAATGAAAAAGGGTTTATTAAAAAATATTATTT